CGGGGCCGCTGGAGCGGCGACGGGGCCGATAGGGGCGGCAACGGGGCCGCTAGGGTTGGCGACGGGGCCGCTGGCGGCGGCGACGGGGCCGATAGGGGCGGCGACGGGGCTGCGAAGGGGCCGCGAGGGGCCTGGAAGGGCGGCGACGGGTCGCGAAGGGGCCGGCGAGGGGGCCTGAAAGGGGCGGCAACGGGCCGCGAGGGGCCGAGAAGGGCGGCGACGGGGCCGTGAGGGGTGGCGACGGGGCCACTGAGGGTCGCGAGAGGGGCACGCCACGGGGCGTGTAGTGGACAGAGTAGCAGCGGAAAGCAGTTAGGTGGGCCCACAGGCCAGGACCGTAGATGCTCTGATAGCATGTCAAAATTGAGGAATGAAGAAGAGAGGAGGGGGGTTCACTAGCAAACATTGGGATACATATAGCAAACCCTAAAAGGGTTGTACTCACTATAGAGTACCCCACTGCAGACTAGAGAAACATAATATTCTGACTGCTTGCCGTTCCTTAGCGCGTGCTAGATCCGCCGTTGTTACTGGTATTTCGAATCTCCAGTATCGAGACTAGCACGAACATTAGTAGTCTGCCGGACTGCCTCCTCCTTGACATCCTCAGGCGCTCCTGCAAGCAGCCCGGCACGCCATGCACGCCGTATATTGACAGCCGCGTATGGGAGCCCATATCCGCCGCATGGACATTCTTGAATGATTATCAAGAGCAAGGCTTTCTGATAGCCAAGACGCCAGTAGCATCCCCTCCTCCTCTCGCAGACGTCGCTCAGAATCTCCTCGTCGCCTCCGTCTGCTACCGTTGGCGTCACCTGATAAAGCTTCACGTGACGACTCTCTCCGTTAAACCAGACCTCATCGTGTCCTGCGATCATCTATCAGTCGCTGTCGCGCGCTTTACGAACCTCACGTATCTCCATCTGGGTGAAAGTAGCTTTGAGTTGCTCGACGATGCCTTCCTCGCTCTCCTCGCATCTTCATGCCCAAGACTGACGGCTCTCCACGTGGGAAGGAGCTGGCGAGTGGCCGATGAGCGTGCTTACCTGGTGGGAGGGGGTTTTGCGATTGCTCGATGAGTGTGGTTACCTGGTGAGGCATGATTGCACAGAGGAGGAGCATCGGATCACTACAGGCGGCTTGGATGGGTTTTTTCAAGAGCTTCCCAGATTGGAGCAAGTTACCTTGTTCTGCCTCCATAAGAATACAAAGCTACCGGATTCGCTTTTCCAGCTGAAGCATCTGCACACCCTTGTGCTCACCAACGCTTCAGCCGTGGAAAAGCCCGGATTTGCAAGTCTCACTGCTCTTACCACTATGTACATCACCTTCCCCTGGAACCAATACCAGCTATCCACCCTTCTTCACCTCCCAAGACTCACCCATTTGTACACCCTCGCGCCTCACAAAACCCATCAGCTTCTTGGTGCTGCAAGCGCGATTCAGACAACCTGCCTGAAATTGCTCAATTTTATCGTGTCTTGTCCCGACTTTGACACCATCTTCCCATCAGCATCCCCCTTCACTGGGCTAGAGGAGCTTTTGATCACTCGTTGCAGCGAGCTAAAGACCCTTCCTGACCACATCGGAGACTTGCTGCCATGCCTTTGCATGTTGTCCATTTGCGAGTGTCATAGTTTTACTCACCTGCCTGCAAACTTCACTTCCCTGAGCCGTCTAGAAGAGCTCGTTATCTGGTCATGTCTTCCTTACTTCACTTTACCCAGCAACTTCGGTTACCTGCCTGCCATCAGAGTACTGGTGCTGTTTGAGTTTAATTCCAGCGACCTCCCTCCTTCCTTCTGTCACCTCACGTGTCTCGAGGCACTCGTTTTGGATTGTTGCAAAGCGCTTGAGAAGCTTCCAGCAGGTTTCTGCCGCTTGACAACTCTCAAGACACTCTGCATAGCGAGATCGGAAGAAATTGGCCTGCCAGAGGACGTTGGGGCCCTTGCAAATCTGGAGGCTCTCAAGTTGATACACTGTCAGGAGGAGCCCCTTCCAGATTCCTTTACCCAGCTATCTAGCCTGACCAGCCTTGAGCTGGAGGGATGCTTTTGTAACGGCGAGCTTCCAGCCCTGGGGTCACTCAACAGCCTCCGGGAGCTGAAGATGGTTAATGCTTTTATCTTCACAATTCCTAGCTCACTGACAAGGCTTACAGCTCTGCAGAATTTGGAGGTGAGGGGCTGCCAGTGGCTCTCCCAGGTGCCCTCTCGGATGGATATGCTGGTGGGGCTAAAGACACTGGTGCTGGCGAAGTGTAAGGAGCTGAGGAGCCCCCCTGATGCACTGCCGCCCTCCCTTGAGACCCTCTGCTTGGGACCGTTCGTGGAAGGTTGCGACCATGTGGTGGACATCTCCGGGCTGTGGCAGCTGAGGGTGCTGAAGCTGAACCGTGTTGGGGTGCGACGCGAGCCTGCAGTGAGCAGCAGGTTGCCATGCCGGGAGCAGGCGGAGCAGGGGGAGCAGGGGGAGCAGGGGGAGCAGGGAGAGCAGGGGGAGCAGGCGGAGCAGGGGGAGCAGGCGGAGCAGGGGGAGCAGGGGGAGCAGGGGGAGCAGGCGGAGCAGGGGGAGCGGGCGGAGCAGGGGGGAGCAGGGGGAGCAGAGGGAGCAGGGGGAGCGGGCGGAGCAGGGGGAGCAGGCGGAGCAGGGGGTGCAGGCGGAGCAAGGGGAGCAGTGTCACAGGATCGAATTCTCAATCGAAACTTGTCACTAAAACTGAATACAAGGCCTATTTATACTCGGAAAGTACAAGGATAAACGAGATAAAACGAACCTTCGGGAACACACCCTTCCCGATACTACAATCACAAGTGCGCATAAGCACGCAAGTCTATTGGCACTTGGGATTACGCCCAGATTACACCGTATACACCACTGTCGGCGCTGTCGGTGCCGTATAATAGGTATGTCGGTGGGAAAAGTAGGAAATAAGAGAAATAAATAGAAGGCTCTAGAAAATAGAATAGTAGGCCGATTGAGATGAGATAAAGACCAAATAAAGAGGAGAAAAGGGAGAATGGGATAACGGAAAAATATAATAGTGAGAAAATATTATAACGGGGACGTCCTCTCACACTTCCCCCCCTCAAAGCTGGGTGGTAGAAGTAACACCCTGCTTGACAAGGTAGTCCTGTAGAGGACGGCGGGCGTTATCCATGTCGTGTTCAGGTACCCAGGTATCCTCGGAAGGATCATAGCCTTTCCAACGAATCAAGAGCTCCAAGGTGCCACTACGTCGTCGTCGGTGCGCCAGAACGGCTTCGACTTCGTACTCGGGTTCCCCATTAACGATCACTGGCAGTGGCGGCGGCGGCTGGCGACCTTTGAAGACCGTGTTTGGGTCCCGATAGGGCTTGAGAAGTTGAACATGGAAGGCATTGTGAATTCTCCTGGTAGCTGGTAAACGCAAGCGGAAGGTTACTGGAGTGACCTGCGCCTCGACGAGAAAAGGTCCGCAGAAGCGAGGTCGGAGCTTAGACGGAAGATGGCTAATGTCGAGATTGCGTGTATCCAGAAGCACTTGATCGCCAATCTTGATGGAATGATCGTTGCGACTCCGATCAGCGAGCTTCTTTTGTTGCTGCTGGATAGTCAGAAGACGTTTATTGCGTGCGCTCCCACAATTGGTGCATAGTGGAAATGAAGTCATGTGCGGGTTGCACCGTGGCGGGTACTGTTGGTTTCTGAGGCGTGAGTGGGTTGCGACCGTAACAGAGGAAAAAAGGAGTTTGCCCTGTTGCGACGTGCGTGGCGTTGTTATACGCAAACTCGAGAACCGGCAGATGTGCATCCCATTTAGAGATATCGTCCTTACACGCTGCTCGCAGAAGCTGTTCGACAATCTGGTTGAGGCGCTCTGTCTGACCATCCGTTTGGGGATGATAGGCTGATGACATGGCGAGTTTGGTCCCCATGAGCGACATGAGCTTCTTCCAGAACTTACTCGTGAATTTCGGGTCTCTGTCGGAGATCAGCGTGGTTGGAATGCCATGTTGCGAGATGACGTAGCGGAAGAATATTTGCGCTGTCTCCTCGATGCGAGCCGTTGTGTGTGTCGGAATGAAGTGTCCCATTTTGGAGAATTTGTCGATGACGACTAGAATGGCGTCGTAACCAGCTTTGGTAGGTGGTAACCCGGTGATGAAGTCGAGGCTAACCACTTGCCAAGGCTGTTCAGGGACTGGAAGAGGCTGTAGTAACCCTGTTTTCTTCTTTTTGCTGCTCTTCATCCGTTGGCATGTGTCGCACGAGGTGACGAATTTTTGTACGTCATCCGCCATGTGGGGCCAATAATAATGCTTCGCAATACCGGCAAGCGTCTTGGAACTACCGAAGTGGCCCGCGTAGAGAACATCATGATATTCTTCGAGCAGTAACTGGCGTAAGGGAGGGTAATTAGGTACCCATATTTTTGTGGAGCCCTTGCGGTATGCGATGTCTTTTTTCTTCCTTCGAGATAACACCTCCATGCCTTAAATGCGTTGACGATGGCGAGGGCCTCTTTGTCATGGATGGGGTAATTGAGTTCTGCCCCGTGAAGTTTTTTACTGAGGTTTGCAATGGGTTGCAGTCCCTTCCCTTGATCCTGCATGAGTACTGCGCCCACTGCTTGATCGCTAGCATCGGCCTCGATGACATAGTCAAGTTCAGTGTCTGGCAGGATAAGAACAGGTGCGGACGTGAGTGCGGTTTTAAGTTGTTCCACGGCTTCCTGGTGCTTCGCCTCCCATTGATATGGTGTATTCTTCTTCAACAGGTTCGTTAATGGTGCGGCAATCTTGGCGTAGTTCGGTACGAACCGGCTGTAGTAGTTGGCGAATCCAAGGAACTGTTGTAACTCCTTCACGTTCTCAGGGGTCTTCCACGTTCGCACTGCTTCGATCTTCTTAGGATCCACGTGAACTCCTTGAGCGCTCACCATATGTCCAAGGAACTGGACTTTTTTCAACGCAAACTCGCTCATGGATAGTTTCACGTAGAAGCGTTCTCGTCGAAGAATTTCAAACACCCGTCGTAGATGCTCAACGTGCTGCTTCATATCTTTCGAGTAGATCAGGATATCGTCCAAATATACCACCACGCACTCGTCCAGAAGGGGCCGAAAGATGTGGTTCATTTCCGCCTGAAATGTGGCTGGTGCGTTAGTGAGTCCGAATGGCATCACAAGATACTCGTATGACCCATACCGAGTTCGAAAAGCGGTTTTGTGGATAGAGTTGTCCGCCATACGAATTTGCCAGTATCCCGATCTGAGGTCGAGCTTGGAGAATACCGTAGCACCGCGAAGTTGATCGAGTAAGTCGTCGATCCGTGGTATCGGGTATTTATTTTTTACAGTCTGCTTGTTCAAGGCTCGGTAGTCGATGCACATTCGCAGACTTCCGTCTGGCTTCGGAGTGAAGAGAACTGGAGCTCCGTACGGCGAAGTCGAAGGTCGAATCAGCCCTTTCTCCAGGAGATACTCTATTTGTTTTTTCATATCGGCAAGCTCTGTCGGGCTCAGCCGGTATGGTGCTCGAAATGTTGGCTTGGACCCCGGCTCTTCTACGATCTCGTGTTGATGTGTCCGGTATGGCGGTAGTTGATCAGGTAAATCGTCGGGGAGAACGTCCTGGAACTCTTCAAGAATTTTCTTGACTGCTGGAGGAAGTTCCTGGGTCTGCTTCTCTCCGTTGTCTGCCTCGTTGACTATCGCCATGAATCCCGCCGTGGTCCGTTTGACGTCCTTTTCAAAGCGTGCGAGTGTCTCGACTGGAATATTTCCCGTGTCGTCCCATTTGGGAAGGCTGATTTTCCTCCCGTTGTTGTTGATGTTGGCCGTCTGGTTAACCCAGTTGATCTCGGGGTTGAACTTTTTAAGAAAGTCTCTCCCGAAGATTACGTCGAGTCCTTTGATATTTGTGACGGGGAGAGCAGGCTTCCATCGAAGGGGTCCAATCTAGAGTAGCAACCGTGTTTTTCCGTAGATAGGTAGCTTACTGCCATCCATCATCGTTGCAGAGAAGCTTGAGGACTTGATGTCACCTCCGAGTCGATCAATTGCCTTTTTGTCATAGACGCTGTGCGACGCCCCGCTGTCCACGAGTGCTTGGAGGCGCTGTCCGTTGCAGATCACCTTGAGCAGGAGTGGTGAGCGTTGCTCAGAGTACCCAAAAATAGTCTCATTAATAGGATCATAGGTTACATCCCAATATTCAGTACACACCGTGGTTCCACTGCTTTCTTCTGGACAACTAGCTGGCCTGGGCTGCGTGGAGAAAGGCTCTTCTCCAATGCCAGGAGTAGAGGTAGTAACCGTACAAGTTGACCCTGAGGGGGTGGATCCGGTCGACGCCTGCGATCCACTGGATGCATCCTTGAGGGGTTTTCGGAGTTTCTGCAGCTTCTTTTGAACTCCCAGCTGCCTCTTCAGCTGCTTCAGCTCCATAGACTTCTTCCCTGGGGAGTGGAGAGTCGTCTTGGGCTGGTTCCGGGAGAGGACGTTGACGCTGTGAAAAGGTCTACTCCTTTCCACACTCCTTAATTTTTTCCCCAGCTCCGTAGGCACCGGTACCACTTCTTTAATTGTGTGCTTCCTCTGGAGTTCTTCCCGGAATTTGTTTATGGCTCTGGACCCGCGAAAAACGCCAGTCTTCATTAAAGCATCTTTGAAAGATAACTTTAACGAATTCTGTTTTTTCCCGGGGTCGAATTGGAGAGTTCCCGTCTTGGTCGAGTCTGTTTTCGCGGAGGTTTTCTTTTCCTCGGCGAATTCCTCTGACAAATTTCGGTCAAGGGGCTTGGGATTTCGCCCTTGATTCTCCAAATCTCGCGCCCAATGCTGTCCTTCAATTTCGATTCGGTCCAGATTGCGCTGACGCTTTCGGATCTGTTTTTTATCGCCAGCACGATCCGCAATCACTGGCGAGATCCGTTTTTTTGACTTTTTGTTTTTAGTTTCGCCACTCCCACGAGCTCGGAATGCCGCACGTGCAGATTTCATGTGAAAACAGTCGACAATCCGATGTCCGTTTCCGCCGCAAAATTCGCAAAGTGTTTTGTTTTTTGCAGGACATGAACTCGCGTTGAATTTGTCGACTTCCATGGGGTCGGCGAACGTGGTTGAAGCCGAGCGATCCCCTTGTCGTGATCCGACAACGTGGGGTTGTCGTGTCCCGGAGTTGACCAAGTCAAAACGCTCCGCGGCCGATACGATTTCGATGTAGCTGCTGCAATTCGCTGCTGCAACCTGGCGTCGAATGTCGGTTTTCAGCCCCGCGATGTAGGACTGAAATTTTTCGCCCTCGGTAATGTCGGGAATGCGATTATAAAATTCCTCCATCTGCTGCGTGTATTGCGCGACACTCCCGTATTGCCTATGGTGATGTAAATTTTCGCGTGCAATATAAGTGGAATTAATCGGCTCAAAACGTTTGAGAAGGTCTGCCCGGAACTGCTGCCACGTGGCTTCGCCCTGGAAAATGCTACTGTTGCTTCCGAGCCACTCGAGAGCTGGACCGCGCATCAACGTTGTCGCGAGACGAATTTTCTCGCCGTCGTACTCCGTTGTCGTCCATCCGATCGCCGCGAAATAATTTTCCATCGTCGCGAGCCACCGCCTGACGTCGGATTTTCGATCGCTAGTGTCGAACAATTCCGGCGAGCGAAGTTTCGGAACCTCGAACTGACGCTGCGACTGCTGCGAAGTCGTCAAAGCAGGAATGTTCATGGTCGAGAGGAGCCGCGTAACGCGCTGCAGTTCGTTTCGCAGCTGCTCGTTCTCCAATCGCGACCGTTCAGTCGTCGCTCGCATCTCTGCTTCCATCTTGGCGATTTGCGCGAAGAGCTGCTGCGTAACGTTGTTGGTCGCCGGCGAACCCATCCTGTTCAAAAACCACGCGAGGGGGTTAATTCGAAAAGCGCGGAACTGGTACTTACCAGAAATCGGCGTCGAATTGGTCGCCCCCGGCGGTTTTTCGAGGCGATTTTTTCCGCGACCGCTGCTTAGCCGAGAGTTGTCGAGTGAGAACGGCTCTGATTACCAAGTGTCACAGGATCGAATTCTCGATTGAAACTTGTCACTAAAACTGAATACAAGGCCTATTTATACTCGGAAAGTACAAAGATAAACGAGATAAAACGAACCTTCGGGAACACACCCTTCCCGATACTACAATCACAAGTGCGCATAAGCACGCAAGTCTATTGGCACTTGGAATTACGCCCAGATTACACTGTATACACCACTGTCGGCGCTGTCGGTGCCGTATAATAGGTATGTCGGTGGGAAAAGTAGGAAATAAGAGAAATAAATAGAAGGCTCTAGAGAATAGAATAGTAGGCCGATTGAGATGAGATAAAGACCAAAATAAAAAGGAGAAAAGGGAGAATGGGATAACGGAAAAATATAATAGTGAGAAAATATTATAACAGGGACGTCCTCTCACAGCAACGCTCCAGGGTGTCTGGCAAGAGCATTGCAACGCTCCAGGGTGTCCGGGAAGAGCATTGCAATGCTCCAGGGTGTCCAGCAAGCGCACTGCAACGCTCCGGGGTGTCCGGTAAGTGCATTGCAACGCTCCGGGGTGTCCGGCAAGAGCACAGCAACGCTCCGGGGTGTCCAGCAAGAGAATTGCAACGCTCCACGGTGTCCGGCAAGAGCATTTCAACGCTCAGAGGTGTCCGGCAAGTGCACTGCTACGCTCCGGGGTGTCCAGCTAGAGCATTGCAACGCTCCAGGGTGTCTGGCAATTACCCGCAAGCGGCCCCCTCAGGTCGCCTCGACAGGCGACGGGAAAAGGGGGGAGGGGGGGGGGGGGGGGGGGGGGCGGTGCCGTAGGTAGGGCGACGGAGCTGGGCCGTAGGTAGGGCGACGGGACGACGGGGCTGCAGATAGGGTCGCCCGAGCCGCGCGCAGGCGGCCCAAGCCGCGCGCGGGCCTGGCGCCGCCCGTACGGGTCGCGCGTAGGCCTGGCGCGGCCCGTACGGGCCGCAGACGAGTCTGGCGCGGCCCGTACGTGCCGCGCGCAGGCCACGACGGGCGACGGGGGGCGACGCGGAGGTCCCCGTCGCCCGTCGCAGCGCCTCCCGGGAGCGGCGCGCGGCGTGATGGGGCAGTAACCCGCCGTGCACCACGGGGCGCACGGCGGGAAGAGAACCACCGCGCGCCTCGGGGCGCACGGCGGGCAGAAAACCGCCGCGCGCCTCGGGGCGCATGGCGGGATGAAAAAATGCCGCACGCCATGGGGCGTGCGGCACAGAAAGTAGTGATAGCAGTGGCTGTAGGAGTTGCAGCGGAAGCAACGAGGTGGTGAGCCCACCCACAGGATCGATCCAAGGGGATCGACCTGCTCTGATACCATGAGAAAAATTAGAAGAGAGAAAAAGGGTTTGACTAGCAGCAGTTGGGATACATATAGCAAACCCTAACAGGGTTGTACTTGCTATAGAGCACCCCACTACAGGCTAGATAAGAACATTCTGACACATTGCAACGCTCCATGGTGGTCAGCAAGAGCATTGCAACGCTCCGGGGTGTCCCGCAAGTGCGCTGCAACCCTTCGGGGTGTCCAAAAAGAGCACTACAATGCTCTAGGGTGTCAAGCAAGAGAATTGCAATGCTCCAGGGTGGCCGCCAAGAGCACTGCAACGCTCTAGGGTGTCCGGCAATTGCATTGCAACGCTCCAGGGTGGCCGGCAAGAGCATTGCAACGCTCCGGGGTGTCTGGCAAGAGCATTGCAACGGTCCACGGTGGTCAGCAAGAGCATTGCAACGCTCCGGGGTGTCCGGCAAGTGCGTTGCAATACCTCAAGGTGTCCAGCAAGAGCACTACAATGCTCTAGGGTGTCAAGCAAGAGCATTGCAACGCTCCATGGTGGACGGCAAGAGCATGGCAACGCTCCGGGGTGTCTGGCAAGAGCATTGCAACGCTCCTGGGTGGTCGGCAAGAGCATTGCAACGCTCCAGGGTGTCCGGCAAGAGCATTGCAACGCTCGAGGGTGTCAGGCAAGAGCATTGCAACTCTCCGGGGTGTCGTGCAAGGGCATTGCAACGCTTCAGGGTGTCCGGCAAGAGCATCGCAACGGTTCAGGGTGGCCGTCAAGAGCATTGCAACGCTCCACGGTGGTGGACAAGAGCATTGCAACACTCCGGGGTGTCCAACAAGTGCACAGCAACGCTCCGGGGTGTCCGGCAAGAGCATTGCAATGCTGTGGGGTATCTGACAAGAGCATTGCAATGCTCCGGGGTGTCGTGCAAGGGCATTGCAACGCTCCGGGGTGTCTGGCAAGAGCATTGCAATGCTCGTGGGTGGTCGGCAAGAGCATTGCAATGCTCGAGGGTGGTCGGCAAGAGCATTGCAGCGCTCCAGGGTGTCCGGCAAGAGCATTTCAACTCTCCAGGGTGTCAGGCAGGAGCATTGCAACGCTCCGGGGTGTCGTGCAAGGGCATTGCAACACTCCAGGTTGTCCGGCAAGAGCATTGCAACGCTTCAGGGTGGCTGGGAAGAGCATTGCAACGCTCCACGGTGGTTGACAAGAGCATTCCAACACTCCGGGGTGTCCAATAAGTGCACAGCAACGCTCTAGGGTGGCCGGCAAGAGCACCGCAACGCTCCGGGGTGTCGTTAAGTGCACTGCAATGCTCCAGGGTGTCTGGCAAGAGCATTGCAACGCTCCGGGGTGTCCGGCAAGAGCATTGCAACACTCTCGGGTGGTCGGCAAGAGCATTGCAACGCTCCAGAATGGTCGGCAAGAGCATTGTAGCGCTCCAGGGTATCCGGCAAGAGCCTTACAACGCTCCAGGGTGTCCGGCAGGAGCATTGCAACGCTCCGGGGTGTCCGGCAAGAGCATTGCAACGCTCTAGGGTGTCCGGCAAGAGCATTGCAACGCTCTAGGGTGTCCGGGAAGAGCATTGCAATGCTCCAGGGTGTCCAGCAAGCGCACTGCAACGCTCCGGGGTGTCCGGCAAGTGCATTGCAACGCTCCACGGTGTCCAGCAAGAGCATTGCAACGCTCCAGGGTGTCCGGCAAGAGCATTGCAACGCTACGGGGTGTCCGGCAAATGCACTGCAATGCTCTGGGGTGTCTGGCAAGAGCAGTGCAACGCTCCAGGGTGTCCGGCAAGAGCATTGCAATGATCCAGGGTGTCCGCTAAGAGCATTGCAACGCTCCGGGGTGTCCGGCAAGTGTCTGCAACGCTCTGGGGTGTCCGGCAAGAGCATTGCAACGCTCCAGGGTGGCCGGCAAGAGCATTGCAACGCTCCACGGTGGTTGGCAAGAGCATTGCAACGCTTCGGGGTGTCCGGCAAGTGCGCTGAAATGCTTCGTGTTATAGTCTGCAGTCCACTTAGAGGTCGCGGATGCCAATGAAACCCCCTAAGCAGAATCTGATGTCTTCAAACCGCCTCTGTTCAAAACGCCGTCACGATCAGCTCCAAAAACACACGACGCTGAAACTTGGACAGCGGTTAGCCTTAGGTGTGTTATTTCCAACGGTATATTATTTGCTATTATCAGAGGTATGTGCACTACGCAGTGATAAAAAACGTAAGCTCGGCTGAAAAACGTGTAGTTTCATCGATGCAAGGAAGAGGTGAGTACAACATTGCCTAGGGGACTCATAAGGGGTTGGGTCATCCTGGGAACTCAGAGAAGGTTGAGTCCTAGGGGAGAAAGGCTAGAGAAGGGTGGGAAACGTCCTAGGTAGGTCAGCAAAGCCAACCACACTTGGATGTTCAGAGCTGTACTCAAGGTTACCAATAGTGAGTCAAGCCAACATGAGTCAGCTTGTCTTCCCACTTGCACCCTCTTGCAAGCTGCTTCCAGGAAGACCACACTTCTCAAAAGGAGGGTGGTAGAGTCCCACTTGACCACCTGTACTTCTTGTCTCATTCTCTGTCCCTGCACCATTTGCATGACAACAATGAAAGGGTGGCAAGGGAAATGCTGCCAACAGTGCACCATGACTACGGAACAGTGAATTTCGACATCTGTCACGCAATGCTCAGATGTTGGATCGTTCTGAAACTTGGTGACCACCTGCACAGCAAGGCAAAGGACCGCCAGACCGAAGTCTAGACCAATCAGATCTCGGTAGACGAGTCAGCAGCCGAAATGGTGAACTCGGGTGTTACCAAAAAGGAGTAACACACACTTCCGGGATGCCATAGGTCTTGAGACATAAAATGTTGTAATGCCTTGGTAACTGCTTCAAAAACTTTGAAACTTTTAGGGTTTGAAGAAAACATGTTGAAAAACCTCCCCACAAAATTCCAGAAGCTGAGCAGGCTTGTAGGCCGAATGGGAGTGCGATGACCGTGCCACTGTAATGTGTTGGCACAACATACTCCCCCTCATCGTGCTCTCATTCATCCCTTAGCTGCTCCCTTAAGCTGCCTCCCTTAGTTGAAGGACATGCCACACAAGGTGGCACAGGTCCAATGCTGATGCTCTGCAAGCCGCTTTGTTAAAAAATCTGCAGGTTGCTTGGTAGTGTTGATGTAGTGCAAGGAGACCGTGCCCTTCTTCACCTCCTTCCTCACCCAATGCCATTTGATATGCATGTGCTTGTTCAGCCCATGGAGCACATCATTGCGAGCCAGTGCAATTGCTCCTTGGCTGTCACAAAACACAGGTGTAGGACCCTCTTGCTCCTGCATTAACTCCTCAAGCAACCTCCTCATCCGAACCACCTCCTTCACCACATGAAACAACGCCATGTACTCGCTCTCCGTTGATGAGTGAGCTATCTCCCCTTGCTTCTTAGACTTCCAGCTCACTGGACTCCCTCCAGCACAGCATACATAGCCACCATGGGATGTTGCATCACTGGTGTCACTTGCCCAGGTAGCATCGGTGAAGCACGAGAGGTACAAGTGTCCACGCCTTGCAGGTGCGCCGGTCTTCGTGCTCACCTCCTCCACTCCCTTTTGCTTCAGCTGCCCATGCACTGAATATTGCAGCCCCACCCTTGAGATTGCCATGCAGTACCTCACCAGCCTCTCTGCTGCATCAAGGTGCTCTTGAAGGGGCCTAGACACCACACGAGCCAGCTGCGAAACCGCGAATGAAATGCCGGGGCGAGTGTTGACCGAAGCATACATCAAGCTCCCCACCATTGACTGGAACCGACGCTGCAACTCGGGCTCCAACACTTCACCCTCCTCCAGCCCGTACCTCTCCCCCATGGCTGCAAGGTACTTGTGTTGGTGAAGCCTCAACCATCCCTTCACCTCGTCCCGCTCCACGTGAAGACCAAGGTAATACCCCACCGGTCCAAGGGCCTTGCATTGAAAGGTCTCCTTCAGCTTTCCTTGCACCTCCTTGATCCTCTATAGGGATGGAGAGAAGAGGAGAATGTCGTCGACGTAGACAAGGAGAAACACCTTCTCCTCCTCCCCTTCGGTCATGAAAAGACTCTCGTCGCAACCGCTGACTTTGAAGCCAAGAGCCTCCAACGCCTCCACCAGCCTTGCATACCAGCACCTTGGAGCTTGTTTGAGGCAATAGAGGGCCTTGTTAAGCCTACAAACACGTCCGCTCCCATCGTCATACCCCTCTGGCTCCTTCATGTAGATCTCCTCATCTACCACGCCATAGAGGAAAGCCGTCTTCACATCCATTTGCTCCACCTTCCAACCACAAACGGCAGCTGCTGCCAGCAACACCCGAAGCGTCCACGTCCACGTCCATATCCACGTCCACGTCCACGACCACGTCCACGTCCACGTCCACGTCCACGTCCACGTCCAAGTCCACGTCCACGTCCACCTCCAGGTCCACGTCCACGTCCACGTCCACGTCCACGTCCACGTCCACGTCCACGTCCTCGTCCACGTCCACGTCCTCGTCCACGTCCACGTCCACGTCCAGGTCCAGGTCCACGTCCACGTCCACGTCCACCACGTCCACGACCACGTCCACGTCCACCACATCCACGACCACGTCCACGTCCACGTCCACGACCACGTCCACGTCCACGTCCACGTCCAAGTCCACGCCCACGTCCACGTCCACGTCCACGTCCACGTCCACAACCACGTCCACGTCCACGTCCACGTCCACGACCACGTCCACATCCACGTCCACGTCCACGTCCACGTCCAAGTCCACGTCCACGTCCACGTCCACGACCACTTCCACGTCCACGTCCACGACCACGTCCACATCCACGTCCAGGTCCACGTCCACGTCCACGTCCACGTCCTCGTCCACGTCCACGTCCACGTCCACGTCCTCCACGTCCACGTCCACGTCCATGTTCACGACCACGTCCACATCCACGACCACGTCCACGTCCACGTCAACGTCCACGTCCACGTCCACGACCACGTCCACGTCCACCTCAACGTCCACGTCCACGTCCACGACCACGACCACGACCACGTCCACGTCCACGACCACGTCCACGTCAACGTCCACGTCCATGACCAAGTCCACATCCACGTCCATGACCACGTCCACGTCCACGTCCAAGACCATGTCCACGCCACGTCCACGTCCTCCATGTCCACGTCCACGTCCACGTTCACATCCACGTCCAGGTCCACGTCTACGTCCAAGTCCACGTCCACGACCACGTCCACGTCCACGTCCACGTCCACGACCACGTCCACGTCCACGTCCAATTCCACGTCCACGTCCAGGTCCAGGTCCACGACCACGTCCACGACCACGTCCACGGCCACGTCCACGACCACGTCCTCGACCACGTACACGTCCACGTCCACGTCCTAGTCCACGTCCACGTCCACGTCCACGACCACGTCCACGTCCACGTCCACGTCGAGGTCCACGTCCATGTCCACGACCTTGCCATGTCCACGTCCACGTCCACGTCCTCCACGTCCACGTCCACGTTCTCGACGTCCACGTCCACGTCCACGTCCACGTCAAGGTCCACGTCTACGTCCACGTCCACGTCCACGTCCAAGACCACGACCACGTCCTCCACGTCCACGTCCACGTCCACGTCCAAGTCCACGTCCACGTCCAGGTCCACGTCCAGGTCCACGTCCACGTCTACGTCCACGTCCACGACCACGTCCACGTCCACGTCCACGTCCACGTCCAAGTCCACGTCCACGTCCACGTCCAGGTCCACATCCACATCCACGACCACGTCCACGTCCACGTCCACGACCACGTCCACGTCCACGTCCTCCACGTCCAGGTCCACGTCCACGTCCACGTCCACGTCCTCCACGTCCAGGTCCACGTCCACGTCCACGTCCACGTCCACGTCCACGTCCACGTCAACGTCCACGTCCACGTCCAGGTCCACGTCGACGTCCACGTCCACGTCCACATCCACTCAACGTCCACGACCATCTCCACGTCCACGTCCACGTCCACGTCCAGGTCCACGTCCACGTCCACGTCTAGTTCCACGTCCACGTCCACGACCACGTCCAGGACCACGTCCACGTCCACAACCTCCACGACCACGTCCATGACCACGTCCACGTCCACGACCAGGTCCACGTCCACGTCCACGACCACGTCCACGTCCACGTCCACGACCATGGCCACGTCCACCTCAACGTCCAGGTCCACGTCTACGTCCACATCCTGGTCCACGTCCACGTCCACGACCACGACCACGTCCACGTCCACGTCCACGTCCACGTCTGCGTCCACGTCCACGTCCGCGTCCGCGTCCACGTCCGCGACCACGACCACGTCCTCGTCCACGTCCACATCTACGACCACGACCACGTCCACGTCCACGTCCACGACCACATCTACGTCCACGTCCACGTCCAAGTCCACGTCCACGTTCATGACCACGTCCACGTCCACGTCCGCGTCCACGTCCACGTCCACGACCACATCCACGTCCACGTCCACCACGTCCACGTCCACGCCCACGTCAATGTCCAAGTCCAGGTCCAGGTCCACGTCCACGTCCACGTCCACGTCCACCACGTCCACGACCACGTCCACGTCCACCACGTCCACGACCACGTCCACGTCCACGACCACGTCCACGTCCACGCCACGTCCACGTCCACGTCCACGTCCAAGTCCACGCCCACGTTCACATCCACGTCCACGTCCACGTCTACGTCCAAGTCCACGTCCACGACCACGTCCACGTCCACGTCCACGTCCACGACCACGTCCACGTCCACGTCCACGTCCAAGTCCACGTCCACGTCCAGGTCCACGTCCACGACCACGTCCACGACCACGTCCACGGCCACGTCCACGACCACGTCCACGACCACGTCCACAACCACGTCCACGTCCTAGTCCACGTCCACGTCCACGTCCACGTCCACGACCACGTCCACGTCCACGTCCACGTCGAGGTCCACGTCCATGTCCACGACCTTGCCATGTCCACGTCCACGTCCACGTCCTCCACGTCCACGTCCACGTTCTCGACGTCCACGTCCACGTCCACGTCCACGTCCACGTCCAGGTCCACGTCTACGTCCACGTCCACGTCCACGTCCAAGACCACGACCACGTCCTCCACGTCCACGTCCACGTCCACGTCCAAGTCCACGTCCACGTCCAGGTCCACGTCCAGGTCCACGTCCACGTCTACGTCCACGTCCACGACCACGTCCACGTCCACGTCCACGTCCACGTCCAAGTCCACGTCCACGTCCACGTCCAGGTCCACATCCACATCCACGACCACGTCCACGTCCACGTCCACGACCACGTCCACGTCCACGTCCTCCACGTCCAGGTCCACGTCCACGTCCACGTCCACGTCCTCCACGTCCAGGTCCACGTCCACGTCCACGTCCACGTCCACGTCCACGTCCACGTCAACGTCCACGTCCACGTCCAGGTCCACGTCGACGTCCACGTCCACGTCCACATCCACTCAACGTCCACGACCATCTCCACGTCCACGTCCACGTCCACGTCCAGGTCCACGTCCACGTCCACGTCTAGTTCCACGTCCACGTCCACGACCACGTCCAGGACCACGTCCACGTCCACAACCTCCACGACCACGTCCATGACCACGTCCACGTCCACGACCAGGTCCACGTCCACGTCCACGACCACGTCCACGTCCACGTCCACGACCATGGCCACGTCCACCTCAACGTCCAGGTCCACGTCTACGTCCACATCCTGGTCCACGTCCACGTCCACGACCACGACCACGTCCACGTCCACGTCCACGTCCACGTCTGCGTCCACGTCCACGTCCGCGTCCGCGTCCACGTCCGCGACCACGACCACGTCCTCGTCCACGTCCACATCTACGACCACGACCACGTCCACGTCCACGTCCACGACCACATCTACGTCCACGTCCACGTCCAAGTCCACGTCCACGTTCATGACCACGTCCACGTCCACGTCCGCGTCCACGTCCACGTCCACGACCACATCCACGTCCACGTCCACCACGTCCACGTCCACGCCCACGTCAATGTCCAAGTCCAGGTCCAGGTCCACGTCCACGTCCACGTCCACGTCCACCACGTCCACGACCACGTCCACGTCCACCACGTCCACGACCACGTCCACGTCCACGACCACGTCCACGTCCACGCCACGTCCACGTCCACGTCCACGTCCAAGTCCACGCCCACGTTCACATCCACGTCCACGTCCACGTCTACGTCCAAGTCCACGTCCACGACCACGTCCACGTCCACGTCCACGTCCACGACCACGTCCACGTCCACGTCCACGTCCAAGTCCACGTCCACGTCCAGGTCCACGTCCACGACCACGTCCACGACCACGTCCACGGCCACGTCCACGACCACGTCCACGACCACGTCCACAACCACGTCCACGTCCTAGTCCACGTCCACGTCCACGTCCACGTCCACGACCACGTCCACGTCCACGTCCACGTCGAGGTCCACGTCCATGTCCACGACCTTGCCATGTCCACGTCCACGTCCACGTCCTCCACGTCCACGTCCACGTTCTCGACGTCCACGTCCACGTCCACGTCCACGTCCACGTCCAGGTCCACGTCTACGTCCACGTCCACGTCCACGTCCAAGACCACGACCACGTCCTCCACGTCCACGTCCACGTCCACGTCCAAGTCCACGTCCACGTCCACGACCACGTCCACATCCACGACCACGTCAACGTCCACGTCCTCCACGTCCACGTCCACGTCCATGTTCACGACCACGTCCACATCCACGACCACGTCCACGTCCACGTCAACGTCCACGTCCACGTCCACGACCACGTCCACGTCCACCTCAACGTCCACGTCCACGTCCACGACCACGACCACGACCACGTCCACGTCCACGACCACGTCCACGTCAACGTCCACGTCCATGACCAAGTCCACATCCACGTCCATGACCACGTCCACGTCCACGTCCAAGACCATGTCCACGCCACGTCCACGTCCTCCATGTCCACGTCCACGTCCACGTTCACATCCACGTCCAGGTCCACGTCTACGTCCAAGTCCACGTCCACGACCACGTCCACGTCCACGTCCACGTCCACGACCACGTCCACGTCCACGTCCAATTCCACGTCCACGTCCAGGTCCAGGTCCACGACCACGTCCACGACCACGTCCACGGCCACGTCCACGACCACGTCCTCGACCACGTACACGTCCACGTCCACGTCCTAGTCCACGTCCACGTCCACGTCCACGACCACGTCCACGTCCACGTCCACGTCGAGGTCCACGTCCATGTCCACGACCTTGCCATGTCCACGTCCACGTCCACGTCCTCCACGTCCACGTCCACGTTCTCGACGTCCACGTCCACGTCCACGTCCACGTCAAGGTCCACGTCTACGTCCACGTCCACGTCCACGTCCAAGACCACGACCACGTCCTCCACGTCCACGTCCACGTCCACGTCCAAGTCCACGTCCACGTCCAGGTCCACGTCCAGGTCCACGTCCACGTCTACGTCCACGTCCACGACCACGTCCACGTCCACGTCCACGTCCACGTCCAAGTCCACGTCCACGTCCACGTCCAGGTCCACATCCACATCCACGACCACGTCCACGTCCACGTCCACGACCACGTCCACGTCCACGTCCTCCACGTCCAGGTCCACGTCCACGTCCACGTCCACGTCCTCCACGTCCAGGTCCACGTCCACGTCCACGTCCACGTCCACGTCCACGTCCACGTCAACGTCCACGTCCACGTCCAGGTCCACGTCGACGTCCACGTCCACGTCCACATCCACTCAACGTCCACGACCATCTCCACGTCCACGTCCACGTCCACGTCCAGGTCCACGTCCACGTCCACGTCTAGTTCCACGTCCACGTCCACGACCACGTCCAGGACCACGTCCACGTCCACAACCTCCACGACCACGTCCATGACCACGTCCACGTCCACGACCAGGTCCACGTCCACGTCCACGACCACGTCCACGTCCACGTCCACGACCATGGCCACGTCCACCTCAACGTCCAGGTCCACGTCTACGTCCACATCCTGGTCCACGTCCACGTCCACGACCACGACCACGTCCACGTCCACGTCCACGTCCACGTCTGCGTCCACGTCCACGTCCGCGTCCGCGTCCACGTCCGCGACCACGACCACGTCCTCGTCCACGTCCACATCTACGACCACGACCACGTCCACGTCCACGTCCACGACCACATCTACGTCCACGTCCACGTCCAAGTCCACGTCCACGTTCATGACCACGTCCACGTCCACGTCCGCGTCCACGTCCACGTCCACGACCACATCCACGTCCACGTCCACCACGTCCACGTCCACGCCCACGTCAATGTCCAAGTCCAGGTCCAGGTCCACGTCCACGTCCACGTCCACGTCCACCACGTCCACGACCACGTCCACGTCCACCACGTCCACGACCACGTCCACGTCCACGACCACGTCCACGTCCACGCCACGTCCACGTCCACGTCCACGTCCAAGTCCACGCCCACGTTCACATCCACGTCCACGTCCACGTCTACGTCCAAGTCCACGTCCACGACCACGTCCACGTCCACGTCCACGTCCACGACCACGTCCACGTCCACGTCCACGTCCAAGTCCACGTCCACGTCCAGGTCCACGTCCACGACCACGTCCACGACCACGTCCACGGCCACGTCCACGACCACGTCCACGACCACGTCCACAACCACGTCCACGTCCTAGTCCACGTCCACGTCCACGTCCACGTCCACGACCACGTCCACGTCCACGTCCACGTCGAGGTCCACGTCCATGTCCACGACCTTGCCATGTCCACGTCCACGTCCACGTCCTCCACGTCCACGTCCACGTTCTCGACGTCCACGTCCACGTCCACGTCCACGTCCACGTCCAGGTCCACGTCTACGTCCACGTCCACGTCCACGTCCAAGACCACGACCACGTCCTCCACGTCCACGTCCACGTCCACGTCCAAGTCCACGTCCACGTCCACGACCACGTCCACATCCACGACCACGTCCACGTCCACGTCAACGTCCACGTCCACGTCTACGACCACGTCCACGTCCACGTCCACGTCCACGTCCACAACCACGTCCACGTCCACGTCCACGACCACGTCCACATCCACGTCCACGTCCACGTCCACGTCCAAGTCCACGTCCACGTCCAGGTCCACGTCCACGTCCACGTCCACGTCCACGTCCTCGTCCACGTCCACGTCCACGACCACGTCCACGTCCACGTCCACGTCCACGTCCTCCACGTCCACGTCCACGTCCACGTCCACGACCACGTCCACATCCACGACCACGTCCACGTCCACGTCAACGTCCACGTCCACGTCCACGACCACGTCCACGTCCACGTCAACGTCCACGTCCACGTCCACGACCACGACCACGACCACGACCACGTCCACGTCCACGACCACGTCCACGTCCACGTCAACGTCCACGTCCACGACCAAGTCTATATCCACGTCCACGACCACGTCCACGTCCACGTCCAAGACCACGTCCACGCCACGTCCACCTCCTCCACGTCCACGTCCACGTCCACGTTCACATCCACGTCCAGGTCCACGTCTACGTCCAAGTCCACGTCCACGACCACGTCCACGTCCACGTCCACGACCACGTCCACGTCCACGTCCACGTCCAAGTCCACGTCCACGTCCAGTTCCACGTCCACGACCACGTCCACGACCACGTCCACGGCCACGTCCACGACCACGTCCACGACCACGTCCACATCCACGTCCACGTCCACGTCCTAGTCCACGTCCACGTCCACGTCCACGTCCACGACCACGTCCACGTCCACGTCCACGTCGAGGTCCACGTCCATGTCCACGACCTTGCCATGTCCACGTCCACGTCCACGTCCTCCACGTCCACGTCCACGTTCTCGACGTCCACGTCCACGTCCACGTCCACGTCCACGTCCAGGTCCACGTCTACGTCCACGTCCACGTCCACGTCCAAGACCACGACCACGTCCTCCATGTCCACGTCCACGTCCACGTCCAAGTCCACGTCCACGTCCACGTCCACGTCCACGTCCACGTCTACGTCCACGTCCACGACTAGTCCACGTCCACGTCCATGTCCAAGTCCACGTCCACGTCCAGGTCCACGTCCAGGTCGACGTCCACGTCTACGTCCACGTCCACGACCACGTCCACGTCCACGTCCACGACCACGTCCACGTCCACGTCCTCCACGTCCAGGTCCACGTCCACGTCCACGTCCTCGTCCTCCACGTCCAGGTCCACGTCCTCCACGTCCACGTCCTCGTCCTCCACGTCCACGTCCACGTCCTCCACGTCCACGTCCACGTCCTCCACGTCCACGTCCACGTCCACGTCCTCCACGTCCACGTCCACGTCCACGTTGACGTCCACGACCACGTCCAGGTCCACGTCCACGTCAACGTCCACGTCTACGTCCAGGTCCACGTCGACGTCCACGTCCACGTCCACATCCACTCAACGTCCACAACCATCTCCACGTCCACGTCCATGTCCACGTCCAAGTCCACGTCCACGTCCACGTCTAGGTCCACGTCCACGTCCACGTCCACGACCACGTCCAGGACCACGTCCACGTCCACGTCCTCCACGACCACGTCCACGTCCACATCCACGACCACGTCCACGTCCACGTCCACGACCAGGTCCACGTCCACGTCCACGACCATGGCCACGTCCACGTCCACGTCCAGGTCCACGTCCACGTCCTCGTCCTGGTCCACGTCCACGTCCACGTCCACGACCACGTCCACGTCCACGTCTGCGTCCGCGTCCACGTCCGCGACCACGACCACGTCCTCGTCCACGTCCACGTCTACGACCACGACCACGTCTACGTCTACGTCCACGTCCACGTCCACGACCACATCTACGTCCACGTCCACGTCCAAGTCCACATCCACGTTCATGACCACGTCCACGTCCACGTCCGCGTCCACGTCCACGACCACATCCACGTCCACGTCCACCACGTCCACGTCCACGCCCACGTCAATGTCCAAGTCCAGGTCCACGTCCACGTCCACGTCCACGTCCACCACGTCGATGTCCACGTCCACGTCCACGTCTACGCCCACGTCCACGTCCGCGTCTACGTCCACGTCCACGTCCACGACCGCATCCCCATCCACATCCAGGTCCACGTCCACGACTGCGTCCAGGTCCACGTCCACGTCCACGTCCAGGTCCACGTCCACGTCCACGTTCAGGACCACGTCCACGTCCACGTCCACGTCCACGTCCGCGTCCACGTCCACGTCCACGTCCGCGTCCACGTCCACGTCCACGACCACGTCCACGTCGAGGTCCACGTCCACGTCGAGGTCCACGTCCACGTCGAGGTCCACGTCCATGTCCACGACCTTGCCATGTCCACGTCCACGTCCTCCACGTCCACGTCCACGTCCACGTCTACGTTCTCCACGTCCACGTCCACGTCCACGTCCAGGTCCACGTCTACGTCCACGTCCACGTCCACGTCCAAGACCACAACCACATCCTCCACGTCCACGTCCATGCCACGTCCAAGTCCACGTCCACGTCCAGGTCCACGTCCAGGTCCACGTCCACGTCTACGTCCACGTCCACGACCACGTCCACGTCCACGTCCACGTCCAGGTCCACATCCACGTCCACGACCACGTCCACGTCCACGTCCTCGTCCACGTCCTCCACGTCCACGTCCTCGTCCTCCACGTCCACGTCCAGGTCCACGTCCACGTCCTCGTCCTCTACGTCCACGTCCACGTCCTCCGCGTCCACGACCACGTCCTCCACGTCCACGTCCACGTCCACGTCCTCCACGTCCACGTCCACGTCCACGTCCACGTCCACGTCCACGTCCATGTCCACGTCGACGTCGACGTCCACGACCACGTCCACGTCCACGTCCACGTCAACGTCAACGTCCACGTCAACGTCCACGTCCACGTCCAGGTCCACGTTGACGTCCACGTCCACGTCCACATCCACTCCACGTCCACGACCATCTCCACGTCCACGTCCACGTCCAAGTCCACGTCCACATCCACGTCCACGTCCACGTCCAGGTTCACGTCCACGTCCACGACCACGTCCAGGACCACGTCCACGTTCACGTCCTCCACGACCACGTCCACGACCACGTCCAGGTCCACGTCCACGTCCACGTCCACGACCACGTCCACGTCCACGTCCACGTCCAAGTCCACGTCCACGTCCAGGTCCACATCCACATCCACGACCACGTCCACGTCCACGTCCACGTCCACGACCACGTCCACGTCCACGTCCACGTCCACGTCCTCCACGTCCAGGTCCACGTACACGTCCACGTCCTCGTCCTCCACGTCGAGGTCCACGTACACGTCCACGTCCTCGTCCTCCACGTCCACGTCCACGTCCTCCATGTCCACGTCCACGTCCTCCACGTCCACGTCCACGTCCATGTCATCCAGGTCCACGTCCACGTCGACGTCCACGACCACGTCCACGTCCACGTCAACGTCAACGTCCACATCCACTCCACGTCCACGACCATCTCCACGTCCACGTCCACGTCCACGTCTAGGTCCACGTCCACGTCCACGACCACGTCCAGGACCAAGTCCACGTCCACGTCCACGTCCTCCACGACCACGTCCACGACCACGTCCACGTCCACGTCCACGACCACGTCCACGTCCACGTCCACGACCACGTCCACGTCCACGTCCACGACCACGGCCACGTCCACGTCCACGTCCAGGTCCACGTCCACGTCCACATCCTAGTCCACGTTCACGTCCACGTCCACGACCACGTCCACGTCCACGTCCACGTCCGCGTCCACGTCTGCGTCCGCGTCCACGTCCGCGACCACGACCACGTCCGCGTCCACGTCCACGTCCGTGACCACGACCACGACCACATCTACGTCCACGTCCACGTCCAAGTCCACGTCCACGTTCATGACCACGTCCACGTCCACGGCCGCGTCCACGTCCACGTCAACGACCACATCCACATCCACGTCCACCACGTCCACGTCCACGCCCACGTCAATGTGCACGTCCAGGTCCACGTCCACGTCCACGTCCACCATGTCCACGTCCACGTCCACGTCCACGTCTACGCCCACGTCCATGTCCGCGTCCACGTCCACGTCCACGTCTACGACCGCGTCCCCATCCACGTCCAGGTCCACGTCCATGACTGCGTCCAGGTCCACGTCCACGTCCACGTCCACGTCCAGGTCCACGTCCACGTCCACGTCCATGACCACGTCCACGTCCACCTCCACGTCCACGTCCACGTCCACGTCCACGTCCGCGTCTACGTCCACGTCCACGTCCGCGTCCACGTCCACGTCCACGACCACGTCCACGTCCACGTCCACGTCGAGGTCCACGTCCATGTCCACGACCTTGCCACGTCCACGTCCACGTCCTCGTCCACGTCCACGTCCTCCACGTCCACGTCCACGTTCTCCACGTCCACGTCCACGTCCTCCGCGTCCACGACCACGTCCTCCACGTCCACGTCCACGTCCTCCACGTCCACGTCCACGTCCACGTCGACGTCCACGACCACGTCCACGTCCACGTCAACGTCCACGTCCACGTCAACGTCTACGTCCACGTCCAGGTCCACGTTGACGTCCACGTCCACGTCCACATCCACTCCACGCCCACGACCATCTTTACGTCCACGTCCACGTCCACGTCCAAGTCCACGTCCACGTCCACGTCCAGGTCCACGTCCACGTACACGACCACGTCCACGACCACGTCCACGTCCACGTCCACGTCCTCCACGACCACGTCCACGTCCACGTCCACGTCCACGTCCACGTTCATGACCACGTCCACGTCCACGGCCGCGTCCACGTCCACGTCAACGACCACATCCACATCCACGTCCACCACGTCCACGTCCACGCCCACGTCAATGTGCACGTCCAGGTCCACGTCCACGTCCACGTCCACCATGTCCACGTCCACGTCCAGGTCCACGTCCAGGTCCACGTCCAGGTCCACGTCCAGGTCCATGTCCAGGTCCACGTCCACGTCCACATCCAGGTCCAGGTCCACGTCCACGTCCACGTCCACGTCCATGACCACGTCCACGTCCACGTCCACCATGTCCACGTCCACGTCCACGTCCATGTCCACGTTCACGTCCACGTCGAGGACCGCGTCCATGACCACGTCCATGTCCACGTCAAGGTCCACGTCCACGTTCACGTCCACGTCCACGTCCACGTCGACGTCCACGTCCACCACGTACACGTCCACGTCCACGTCCACGTCCATATCCATTTCCACGTCCACGTCCACGTCCGGGTCAACGTCCAGGTCCACGTCCACGTCCACGTCCACGTCCACGTCCACGTCCAGGTCCACGTCCACGTCCACGTCCACCACGTCCACGTCCACAACCACGTCCACGTCCACGTCCACGACCGCGTCCACGTCCACGACCGCGTCCACGTCCACGTCCACGTCCACGACCACGTCCACGTCCACGTCCACGCCCACGACCACGTCCACGTCCACGACCACGTCCACGTCCACGTCCACGTCCAGGTCCAGGTCCACATCTAGGTCCAGGTCCACGTCCACGTCTAGGTCAAAGTCCACGTCTATGTCCACGTCCACGTCGAGGTGAACGTCCATGTCCACGTCCAGGTCCACGTCCACGTCCACGTCCAGGTCCACGTCCACGTACACGTCCACGTCCACGTCCACGTCTCCGACCACGTCCACGTCCACGACCACGTCCACGTCCACGTCCACGTCCACGAACACGTCCACGTCCATGACCACGTCCACGTCCACGTCCACGTCCAAGTCGACGTCCACGTCCAGGTCCAGGTCCACGTCCATGTCCACGTCCACGTCCACGTCCACGTCCAGGTCCACGTCCACGTCCACGACCACGTCCACGTCCATGACCACGTCCACGTCCAAGTCCACGTCCACGTCCACGTCTAAGTCCACGACCACGTCCATGACCACGTCCACGTCCACGTCCACGTCCACGTCCACAACCACGTCCACGTCCACGACCATGTCCACATCCACGTCCACATCCACGTCCACGACCACGTCCACGACCACGTCCACGTACACGTCCACGTCCACGTCCACGACCACGTCCACGTCCACGTCCACGTCCACATCCGCGTCCACGTCCGCGTCCACGTCCTCGTCCAAGTCCGCGTCCACGTCCGCGTCCACGTCCTCGTCCACATCCCGTCACGTCCGCATCCACGTCCACGTCCACGACCACGTCCACGTCCGCGTCCACGTCCACGACAACGTCCACGTCCACGTCCACGTCCATGTCCAAGTCCACATCCACGTCCACGTCCAAGTCCACGTCCACGTCTACGACCACATCTACATCCACGCCCACGTCCACGTCCAAGTCCACGTCCACGTCTAGGTCCAGGTCCAAGTCCACGTCCACGTCCACGACCACGTCCACGTCCACGTCCAGGTCCACGTCCACGTCCACGTCCAGGTCCACGTCCACGTCCACGACCACATCCACGTCCACGTCCAAGTCCACGTCCACGTCCTGGTCCACGTCCACGTCCATGTCCTCCACGTCCATGTCCACGTCCTCCACGTCCACGTCCACGTCTTCCACGTCCACGTACAGGTCCATCTCCACGTCCACGTCCACATCCACGTCCACGTCCACATCCACGTCCACGTCCACGTCCAAGTCTACGTCCACGTCCACGTCCACATCCACGTCGACGTCCACGTCCCCGACCACGTCCACGTCCACGACCACGTCCACGTCCACGTCCACGTCCACGAACACGTCCACATCCATGACCACGTCCACGTCCACGTCCACGTCCAAGTCCACGTCCACGTCCAGGTCCAGGTCCAGGTCCACGTCCACGTCCACGTCCACGTCCAGGTCCACGTCCACGTCCACGACCACGTCCACGTCCACGTCCACGTCCACGTCCACGTCCAAGTCCACGTCCACGTCCACGTCCACGTCTACGACCACGTCCACGTCCACGTCCACGACCACGTCCACGACCACGTCCACGTCCACGTCCACAACCACGTCCACGTCCACAACCACGTCCACATCCACGTCCATATCCACGTCCATGACCACGTTCACGACCACGTCCACGTCCACGTCCACGTCTACGTCCACGACCACGTCCACGTTCACGTCCACGTCCACGTCCGCTTCCACGTCCGCGTCCACGTCCTCGTCCACGTCCGCGTCCACGTCCGCGTCCACGTTTGCGTCCACGTCCGCGTCCACGTTTGCGTCCACGTCTAGTCCACGACCACGTCCACGTCCGCGTCCACGTCCACGACCACGTCCACGTCCACGTCCACGTCCAAGTCCACGTCTACGTCCACGTCCAAGTCCACGTCCAAGTCCACGTCCACGTCTACGACCACATCCACATCCACGTCCACGTCCATGTCCAAGTCCACGTCCACGTCCAGGTCCAGGTCCAAGTCCACGTCCACGTCCACGACCACGTCCACGTCCACATCCAGGTCCACGTCCACGTCCACGTCCACGACCACGTCCACGTCCACGTCCACATCCACGTCCAAGTCCACGTCCACGTCCTGGTCCACGTCCACGTCCACGTCCTCCACGTCCACGTCCACGTCCTCCACGTCCACGTCCACGTCCTCCACGTCCACGTCCACGTCCTCCACGTCCACGTCCACGTCCACGTCCACGTCCACATCCACGTCCACGTCCACGTCCACATCCACGTCCACGTCCACGTCCAAGTCTACGTCCACGTCCACGTCCACGTCGACGTCCACGTCCCCGACCACGTCCACGTCCACGACCACGTCCACGTCCACGTCCACGTCCACGAACACGTCCACATCCATGACCACGTCCACGTCCACGTCCACGTCTACGTCCAAGTCCACGTCCACTTCCAGGTCCAGGTCCACGTCCACGTCCACGTCCACGTCCAGGTCCACGTCCACGTCCACGACCACGTCCACGTCCATGACCACGTCCACGTCTAAGTCCACGTCCACGTCCACGTCCACGTCTACGTCCACGACCTCGTCCACGACCACGTCCACGTCCACGTCCACGTCCACAACCACGTCCACGTCCACGACCACGTCCACATCCACGTCCACATCCACGTCCACGACCACGTCCACGACCACGTCCACGTCCACGTCCACGTCCACGACCACGTCCACAACCACGTCCACGTCCGGGTCCACGTCCGCGTCCACGTCCTCGTCCACGTCCGCGTCCACGTCCGTGTCCACGTCCTCGTCCACGTCCGCGTCCACATTTGCGTCCACGTCCACGTCCACGACCACGTCCACGTCCGCGTCCACGTCCACGACCACGTCCACGTCCAAGTCCACGTCCACGTCCACGTCCAAGTCCACGTCCACGTCGACGACCACGTCCACATCCACGTCCACGTCTACGACCACATCCACATCCACGTCCACGTCCATGTCCAAGTCCACGTCCACGTCCAGGTCCAGGTCCAAGTCCACGTCCACGACCACGACCACGTCCACGTCCAGGTCCACGTCCACGTCCACGTCCACGCCCACGTCCATGTCCTCCACGTCCACGTCCACGCCGTCCATGTCCACGTCCTCCACGTCCACGTCCACGACCACGTCCATGTCCACGTCCACGTCCACGACCAAGTCCACGTCCACGTCCACGTCCACGTCCACGACCACGTCCACGACCACGTCCACGACCACGTCCACGTCCACGTCCACGTCCAAGTCCACGTCCACGTCCACGTCCTCCACGTCCACGTCCATGTCGTCGATGTCCACGTCCTCCACGTCCACGTCCACGACCACGTCCATGTCCACGTCCACGTCCACGACCACGTCCACGTCCACGTCCAAGCCCACGTCCACGTCCACGTCCACGACCACGTCCACGTCCACATCCACGTCCACGACCACGTCCACGACCACGTCCACGTCCACGTCCAAGTCCACGTCCACGTGGTGGTCCACGTCCACGTCCTCCACGTCTATGTCCCTTCCTCTACGTCCACGTCTACGTCCACGTCCATGTCCACATCCACATCCACGTACACGTCCACGTCCACGTCCACATCCACGTCCACGTCCATGTCCACGTCCACGTCCACGTCCACATCGTGGTCCATGTCCACGTCCTCCACGTCCACGTCCACGTCCTCCACGTCCACGTTTACGTCCACGTCCACGTCCACATCCACGTCCACGTCCACGTCCACGTCCACATCCACGTCCACGTCCACGTCCAAGTCCACGTCCACGTCGTGGTCCACGTCCACGTCCTCCACGTCCACATCCACGTCATCCACGTCCACGTCTACGTCCACGTCCACGTCCACATCCACGTCCACGTACACGTACACGTCCACGTCCACGTTCACGTCCAAGCCCACGTCCACGTCCACGTCCACCTCCTCCACGTCCACGTCCACGTCGTCCATGTCCACGTCCTCCACATCCACGTCCACGACCACGTCCATGTTCACGTCCACGTCCACGACCACCTCCAAGTCCACGTCCACGTCCACGTCCACGTCCAAGCCCACGTCCACGTCCAGGTCCAGGTCCAGGTCCAGGTCCACGTCCACGTCCACGTCCAAGTCCACGTCCACGTCCACGACCACGTCCACGTCCACGTCCACGTCCACGTCCACGTCCAAGTCCACGTCCACGTCCACGTCCACGACCACGTCCACGACCACGTCCACGTCCACGTCCACAACCACGTCCACGTCCACGACCACGTTCACGACCACGTCCACGTCCACGTCCACGTCTACGTCCACGACCACGTCCACGTCCACGTCCACGTCCACGTCCGCTTCCACGTCCGCGTCCACGTCCTCGTCCACGTCCGCGTCCACGTCCGCGTCCACGTTTGCGTCCACGTCCGCGTCCACGTTTGCGTCCACGTCCACGTCCACGACCACGTCCACGTCCGCGTCCACGTCCACGACCACGTCCACGTCCACGTCCACGTCCAAGTCCACGTCTACGTCCACGTCCAAGTCCACGTCCAAGTCCACGTCCACGTCTACGACCACATCCACATCCACGTCCACGTCCATGTCCAAGTCCACGTCCACGTCCAGGTCCAGGTCCAAGTCCACGTCCACGTCCACGACCACGTCCACGTCCACATCCAGGTCCACGTCCACGTCCACGTCCACGACCACGTCCACGTCCACGTCCACATCCACGTCCAAGTCCACGTCCACGTCCTGGTCCACGTCCACGTCCACGTCCTCCACGTCCACGTCCACGTCCTCCACGTCCACGTCCACGTCCTCCACGTCCACGTCCACGTCCTCCACGTCCACGTCCAGGTCCACGTCCACGTCCACGTCCACATCCACGTCCACGTCCACGTCCACATCCACGTCCACATCCACGTCCAAGTCTACGTCCACGTCCACGTCCACGTCCACGTCGACGTCCACGTCCCCGACCACGTCCACGTCCACGACCACGTCCACGTCCACGTCCACGTCCACGAACACGTCCACATCCATGACCACGTCCACGTCCACGTCCACGTCCACGTCTACGTCCAAGTCCACGTCCACTTCCAGGTCCAGGTCCACGTCCACGTCCACGTCCACGTCCACGTCCACGTCCACGACCACGTCCACGTCCATGACCACGTCCACGTCCAAGTCCACTTCCACGTCCACGTCCACGTCTACGTCCACGACCTCGTCCACGACCACGTCCACGTCCACGTCCACGTCCACAACCACGTCCACGTCCACGACCACGTCCACATCCACGTCCACATCCACGTCCACGACCACGTCCACGACCACGTCCACGTCCACGTCCACGTCCACGTCCGGGTCCACGTCCGCGTCCACGTCCGGGTCCACGTCCGCGTCCACGTCCTCGTCCACGTCCGCGTCCACGTCCGTGTCCACGTCCTCGTCCACGTCCGCGTCCACATTTGCGTCCACGTCCACGTCCACGACCACGTCCACGTCCGCGTCCACGTCCACGACCACGTCCACGTCCAAGTCCACGTCCACGTCCACGTCCAAGTCCACGTCCACGTCGACGACCACGTACACATCCACGTCCACGTCTACGACCACATCCACATCCACGTCCATGTCCAAGTCCACGTCCACGTCCAGGTCCAGGTCCAAGTCTACGTCCACGTCCACGACCACGTCCACGTCCACGTCCAGGTCCAGGTCCACGTCCACGTCCACGACCACGTCCACGTCCACGTCCACGTCCAAGTCCACGTCCACGTCCTGGTCCACGTCCACGTCCAAGTCCTCCACGTCCACGTCCACGTCCTCCACGTCCATGTCCACGTCCTCCACGTCCACGTCCACGTCCACGTCCACGTTCCACGTCCACCTACACGTCCACGTCCACGTCCACATCCACGTCCACGTCCACGTCCAAGTCTACGTCCACGTCCACGTCCACGACCACGTCCACGTCCATATCCACGTCCATATCCACGTCCATGTCCAGGTCCACGTCCACGTCCACGCCCACGTCCACGTCCTCCACGTCCACGTCCACGTCGTCCACGTCCACGTCCTCGACGTCCAAGTCCACGACCACGTCCACGTCCTCGTCCACGACCACGTCCACGTCCACGACCAGGTCCACGTCCACGTCCTCGTCCACGACCACGTCCACGTCCACATCCACGTCCAATTCCACGTCCACGTCCTGGTCCACGTCCACGTCCACGTCCTCCACGTCCACGTCCACGTCCTCCACGTCCACGTCCACGTCCACGTCCACGTCCACATACACGTACACGTCCACGTCCACATCCACGTCCACGTCCACGTCCAAGTCTACGTCCACGTCCACGTCCACGTCTACGTCGACGTCGACGTCCACGTCCACGTCTACGTCCACGACCACGTCCACGTTCACGTCCATATCCATCGTCCACGTCCATGTCCAGGTCCACGTCCACGTCCACGTCCACGCCCACGTCCACGTCCTCCACGCCCACGTCCACGTCGTCCACGTCCACGTCCTCCACGTCCACATCCACGACCACGTCCACGTCCACGACCACGTCCACATCCACGTCCATGTCCGCGTCCACGTCCGCGTCCACGTCCTCGTCCACGTCCGCGTCCACGTCCGCGTCCAGGTCCACGTCCACGTCCACGTCCACATCCGCGTCCACGACCGCGTCCATGTCCGCGTCCATGTCCACGTCCACATCCATGCCCACGTCCGCGTCCACGTCCACGACCACGTCCACGTCCTCGTCCACGTCCAAGTCCACGTCCACGTCCAGGTCCACGTCCACGTCCACGTCCACGTCTACGACCACGTCCACGTCCACGTCCACGTCCACGTCCAAGTCCACGTCTACGTCCAGGTCCAGGTCCAAGTCCACGTCCACGTCCACGACCACGTCCAGGTCCACGTCCACGTCCACGTCCACGCCCACGTCCATGTCCTCCACGTCCACGTCCACGCCGTCCATGTCCACGTCCTCCACGTCCACGTCCACGACCACGTCCATGTCCACGTCCACGTCCACGACCAAGTCCACGTCCACGTCCACGTCCACGTCCACGTCCTCCACGTCTACGTCCATGTCGTCGATGTCCACGTCCTCCACGTCCACGTCCACGACCACGTCCACGTCCACGTCCACGTCCACGACCACGTCCACGTCCACGTCCAAGCCCACGTCCACGTCCACGTCCACGACCACGTCCACGTCCACATCCACGTCCACGACCACGTCCACGTCCACGTCCAAGTCCACGTCCACGTCCACGTCCTCCACGTCTACGTCCATGTCGTCGATGTCCACGTCCTCCACGTCCACGTCCACGACCACGTCCACGTCCACGTCCACGTCCACGACCACGTCCACGTCCACGTCCAAGCCCACGTCCACGTCCACGTCCACGACCACGTCCACGTCCACATCCACGTCCACGACCACGTCCACGACCACGTCCACGTCCACGTCCAAGTCCACGTCCACGTGGTGGTCCACGTCCACGTCCTCCACGTCTATGTCCCTTCCTCTACGTCCACGTCTACGTCCACGTCCACGTCCACATCCACATCCACGTACACGTCCACGTCCACGTCCACGTCCACATCCACGTCCACGTCCATGTCCACGTCCACATCCACGTCCACATCGTGGTCCATGTCCACGTCCTCCACGTCCACGTCCACGTCCTCCACGTCCACGTTTACGTCCACGTCCACATCCACGTCCACGTCCACGTCCACGTCCACATCCACGTCCACGTCCATGTCCACGTCCACGTCCACGTCCATGTCCACGTCCACGTCCATGTCCACGTCCACGTCCACGTCCACGTCCACATCCACGTCCACGTCCACGTCCACGTCCACGTCCATGTCCACGTCCACGTCCATGTCCACGTCCACGTTTACGTCCACATCCACGTCCAAGCCCACGTCCACGTCCACGTCCACGTCCACGTCCACGTCCACGTCGTCCACGTCCACGTCCACGACCACGTCCATGTCCACGTTCACGTCCACGACCACGTCCATGTCCAGGTCCAAGTCCACGTCCACGTCCACGTCCACGACCACGTCCAGGTCCACGTCCAAGTCCACGTCCACGTCCACGTCCACGTCCACGACCACGTCCAAGTCCACGTCCACGACCACGTCCACGTCCACGACCACGACCACGTCCACGTCCACGTCCACGTCCACGTCCACGACCACGACCACGTCCACGTCCACGACCACGTCCACGTCGACGACCACGTCCACGTCCACGTCCAAGTCCAAGTACACGTCCAAGTCCACGTCCACTTCCTCGTCCACGTCCAGGACCACGTCCACGTCCACGTCCACGTCCACGTCCACGACCACATCCACGTCCACGACCACGTCCACGTCCATGTCCACGACCACGTCCACGTCCACGTCCACGTCCAGGTCCACGTCCAGGTCCACGTCCACGTCCAGGTCGTCGTCCACGTCCACGTCCACGTCCACGTCCACGTCCACGTCCACGACCACGTCCACGTCCACGACCACGTCCACGTCCACGTCCATGTCCACGTCGACGTCCACGTCCACGTCCACGTCCACATCTACGACAACGTCCACGTCCAGGTCCAGGTCCAGGTCCACGTCCACGACCACGTCCACGTCCACGACCACGTCCAGGTCCAAGTCCAGGTCCACGTCCACGTCCACGAGCACGTCCACGTCCACGTCCACGTCCACGTCCAAGTCCACGTCCATGTCCACGTCCACGTCCACGAGCACGTCCACGTCCACGTCCACGTCCACAACCACGTCCACGTCCACGACCACGTCCACATCCACGTCCACATCCACGTCCACGTCCACATCCACGACCACGTCCACCTCCACGACCACGTCCACGTCCACGTCCACGACCATGTCCACGTCCACGTCCACGTCCACGGCCGCGTCCACGTCCGCGTCCACGTCCTCGTCCACGTCCGCGTCCACGTCCGCGTCAGTGTCTACGTCCACGTCCACGACCACGTCCACGACCACGTCCACATCCGCGTCCACGTCCGCGTCCACGTCCGCGTCCACGTCCGCGTCCGCGTCCACGTCCACGTCCAAGTCCGCGTCCGCGTCCACGTCCACGACCACGTCCACGTCCACGTCCACGTCCAAGTCCACGTCCACGTCCACGTCCACGTCTACGACCACGTCCACGTCCACGTCCACGTCCACGTCCAAGTCCGTGTCTACGTCCATGTCCAGGTCCAAGTCCACGTCCACGTCCACGTCCACGACCACGTCCAAGTCCACGTCCACGTCCACGTCCACATCCACGTCCACGACCACATCCACGTCCACGTCCACGTCCAAGTCCACGTCCACGTCCTGGTCCACGTCCACGTCCTCCACGTCCACGTCCACGTCCACATCCACGTCCACATACACGTCCACGTCCACGTCCACGTCCACATCCACGTCCACGTCCACGTCCAAGTCCACATCCACGTCCACGTCCACGTTGACATCCACCTCCACGTCCACGTCCACGACCACGTCCACGTCCACGTCCACGTCCATGTCCATGTCCACGTCCATGTCCAGGTCCACGTCCACGTCCACGTCCACGTCCTCCACGTCCACGTCAACGTCGTCCACGTCCACGTCCTCCACATCCAAGTCCACGACCACGACCACGTCCACGTCTACGTCCACGTCCGCGTCCACGTCCGCGTCCACGTCCTCGTCCATGTCCGCGTCCACGTCCGCGTCCACGTCCACGTCCGCGTCCACGTCCACGTCCACGTCCACGTCCACGTCCGCGTCCGCGTCCACGTCCACGTCCGCGTCCACGTCCACGTCCGCGTCCACGTCCATGACCACGTCCACGTCCAAGTCTGCGTCCACGTCCAAGTCCACGTCCAAGTCCACGTCCACGTCCACGTCCAAGTCTACGTCCACGTCCAGGTCCACGTCCAGGTCCTCAACGTCCACGTCCACGTCCTCCACGTCCACGTCCACGTCCACATCCACGTCCACGTTCACGTTCACGTCCACGTCCACATCCACGTCTACGTCCAAGTCCACGTCCAAGTCCACGTCCACGTCCACGTCGACGTCGACGTCGACGTCCACGTCCACGTCCACGACCACATCCACGTCCACGTCCACGTCCATGTCTACGTCCACGTCCACGTCCAGGTCCACGTCCACGTCCACGTTCACGTCCACGCCCACGTCCACGTCCTCCACGTCCACGTCCACGTCGTCCATGTGCGCGTCCTCCACGTCCACGTCCACGTCCACGTCCGCGTCCTCGTCCACGACCACGTCCACGTCCACGTCCACGTCCGCGTCCACGTCCACGACCACGTCCACGTCCACGTCCACGTCCAAGTCCACATCCACGTCCACGTCTACGACCACGTCAACGTCCACGACCAAGTCCGTGTCCACGTCCACGTCCAGGTCCGTGTCCACGTCCATGTCCACGACCACGTCCAAGTCCACGTCCACGTCCACGTCCACGTCCACGTCCACGACCACGTCGACGTCCAAGTCCACGTCCACGTCCTGGTCCACGTCCACGTCCTCCTCTTCCACGTCCACGTCCACGTCCACGTCCTCCTCGTCTACGTCCACGTCCTCCACGTCCACGTCCACGTCCACGTCCACATCCACGTCCACATACACGTCCACGTCCACGTCCACGTCCACGTCCACGTCCAAGTCCACGTCCATGTCCACGTCCACGTCGACATCCACGTCCACGTCCACGTCCACGTCCAAGTCGTCGTCTACGTCCATGTCCATGACCACGACCACGTCCACGTCCACGTCCGCGTCCACGTCCTCGTCCACGTCCGCGTCCACGTCTGCGTCCACGTTCGCTTCCACGTCCACATCCGCGTCCACGTCCGCGTCCACGTCCACGTCCGCGTCCACGTCTGCGTCCACGTCCACGTCCGCGTCCACGTCCGCGTCCACGTCCACGTCCACGTCCACGTCCGCGTCCACGTCCGCGTCCACGTCCACGACCACGTTCACGTCCACGTCCAAGTCCACGTCCACGTCCAGGTCCACGTCCACGTCTACGACCACGTCCACGTCCACGTCCACGTCCAGGTCCAGGTCCAAGTCCACGTCCACGTCCACGACCACGTCCTCGTCCACGTCCACGTCCACGACCACGTCCACGTCCACGTCCACGTCCAAGTCCACGTCTTCGTCCTGGTCCACGTCCACGTCCTCAACGTCCACGTCTACGTCCTCCACGTCCACGTCCACGTCCACATCCACGTCCACGTACACGTCCACGTCCACGTCCACATCCACGTCCTCGTCCACGTCCAAGTCTACGTCCACGACCACGTCCACGTCCACGTTCATGTCTACGTCCACGTCCACGTCCAGGTCCACGTCCACGTCCACGCCCACGTCCACGTCCTCCACGTCCACGTCCACGTCGTCCACGTCCGCGTCCTCCACGTCCACGTCCATGACCATGTCCACGTCCACGTCCACGTCCACGTCCACGTCCACGACCACGTCCAAGTCCACGTCCACGTCCACGTCCAAGCCCATGTCCACGTCCACGTCAACGTCCACGACCACGTCCACGTCCAAGTCCACGTCCAAGTCCACGTACACGTCCACGTCCACGTCGTAATCCACGTGCACGTCCACGTCCAAGTCCACGTCCACGTCCACGTCGACGTCGACGTCCCCGACCACGTCCACGTCCACGACCACGTCCACGTCCACATCCATGTCTACGTCCACGTCCACGTCCACGTCGTCCACGTCCACGTCCATGTCCACGTCCACGTCCACGTCCACGTCCATGTCTACGTCCACGTCCACGTCCACGTCCTCCACGTCCACGTCGTCCACGTCCGCGTCCTCCACGTCCACATCCACGACCATGTCCACGTCCACGTCCACGTCCATGACCACGACCAAGTCCATGTCCACGTCCACGTCCAAGCCCATGTCCACGTCCACGTCCACGGCCACGTCCACGACCACGTCCACGTCCACGTCCACGTCCAAGTCCACGTGCAAGTCCACGTCCACGTCCACGTCCACGTCCACGACCACGTCCAGGTCCACGTCCACGTCCACGTCCAGGTCCACGTTCACGTCCACGTCCACGTCCATGTCGACGACCACGTCCACGTCCACGTCCACGACCACGTCCACGTCCACGTCCAGGTCCACGTCCACGTCCACGTCCAGGTCCACGTCCAAGTCCACGTCCACGTCCACGTCCACGACCACGTCCACGTCCACGACCACGTCCACGTCAATGTCCACGTCCACGTCCACGTCCACGTCCAATTTCACGTCCACGTCCACGTCCACTTCCTCGTCCACGTCCAGGACCACGTCCACGTCCACGTCCACGTCCACGACCACGTCCATGACCACGTCCACATTCATGTCCACGTCTACGTCCACGTTCACGTCCACCTCCACGTCCAGGTCCATGTCCACGACCACGTCCACGTCCACGTCACCGACCACGTCCACGTCCACGTCCACGACCACGTCCACGTCCACGACCACGTCCACGTCCATATCCACGTCCACGTCCACGTCCAAGTCCATTTCCACGTCCACGTCCACTTCCTCGTCCACGTCCAGGACCACGTCCACGTCCACGTCCACGACCACATCCACGACCACGTCCACGTCCACGTCCACGTTCATGTCCACGTCTACGTCCACGTCCACGTCCAAGTCCACATCCACGTCCACGTCCACTTCCTCGTCCACGTCCAGGACCACGTCCACGTCCACGTCCATGACCACGTCCACGACCACGTCCACGTCCACGTTCACGTCCACGTCGACGTCCACGTTCACGTCCACGTCCACGTCCACGTCCACGTCCACGTCGTCCACGTCCACATCCACGTCCACGTCCACGTCCTCCACGTCCACGTCCACGTCCACGTCCTCCACGTCCACGTCCACGCCCACGTCCACGGCCACGTCCACGTCCACGTCCATGTCCACGTCCACGTCCTCCACGTCCACGTCCACGTCGTCCACGTCCACGTCCTCCACGTCCACGTCCATGACCACGTCCACGTCCACGTCCACGACCACGTCCTCGTCCACGTCCACGTCCGTGTCCACGTCCAAGCCCACGTCCACGTCCACTCCACGTCCACGTCCACGTCCAAGCCAACGTCCACGTCCACGTCCACGTCCACGACCAACTCCACGTCCACCTCCACGTCCAAGTCCACGTCCACGTCCACGTCCACGACCACGACCACGTCCACGTCCACGACCACGTCCACGTCCATATCCACGTCCACGTCCACGTCCAAGTCCATTTCCACGTCCACGTCCACTTCCTCGTCCACGTCCAGGACCACGTCCACGTCCACGTCCACGACCACATCCACGACCACGTCCACGTCCACGTCCACGTTCATGTCCACGTCTACGTCCACGTCCACGTCCAAGTCCACATCCACGTCCACGTCCACTTCCTCGTCCACGTCCAGGACCACGTCCACGCCCACGTCCACGTCCATGACCACGTCCACGACCACGTCCACGTCCACGTTCACGTCCACGTCGACGTCCACGTTCACGTCCACGTCCACGTCCACGTCCACGTCCACGTCGTCCACGTCCACATCCACGTCCACGTCCACGTCCTCCACGTCCACGTCCACGTCCACGTCCTCCACGTCCACGTCCACGCCCACGTCCACGGCCACGTCCACGTCCACGTCCATGTCCACGTCCACGTCCTCCACGTCCACGTCCACGTCGTCCACGTCCACGTCCTCCACGTCCACGTCCATGACCACGTCCACGTCCACGTCCACGACCACGTCCTCGTCCACGTCCACGTCCATGTCCACGTCCAAGCCCACGTCCACGTCCACGTCCACGTCCACGTCCACGTCCACGTCCACGTCCAAGCCAACGTCCACGTCCACGTCCACGTCCACGACCAACTCCACGTCCACGTCCACGTCCACGTCCACGACCACGTCCACGACCACGTCCACGACCACGTCCACGTCCACGTCCACGTCCAAGTCCACGTCTACGTCCACGACCAAGTCCACGTCCATGTCCACGACCACGTCCATGACCACGTCCACGACCACGTCCACGTCCACGTCCACGTCCAAGTCCACGTCCACGTCCACGTCCACGTCCACGTCCAAGCCAACGTCCACGTCCACGTCCACGTCCACGACCAACTCCACGTCCACGTCCACGTCCACGTCCACGACCACGTCCACGACCACGTCCACGTCCACGTCCACGTCCAAGTCCACGTCCACGTCCACGACCAAGTCCACGTCCACGTCCACGATCACGTCCATGACCACGTCCACGACCACGTCCAAGTCCACGACCACGTCCAAGTCCACGTCCACGTCCACGTCCATGTAAATTTCCTCGTCCACGTCCAGGACCACGTCCACGTCCACGTCCATGTCCACGTCCACGACCACGTCCACGTCCACGTCCACGTCCACGTCCACGTCCACGTCCAAGCCCACGTCCACGTCCACGTCCACGTCCACGACCAACTCCACGTCCACGTCCACGTCCACGTCCACGACCACGTCCACGACCACGTCCACGACCACGTCCACGTCCACGTCCACGTCCAAGTCCACGTCCACAACCAAGTCCACGTCCACGTCCACGACCACGTCCACGACCACGTCCACGACCACGTCCACGTCCACGTCCACGACCAAGTCCACGACCACGTCCAAGTCCACGTCCACGTCCACGTCCATGTAAATTTCCTCGTCCACGTCCAGGACCACGTCCACGTCCACGTCCATGTCCACGTCCACGACCACGTCCACGTCCACGTCCACGTCCACGACCATGTCCACGTCCACGTCCACGTCCACGACCACGTCCACGACCACGTCCACGTCCACGTTCACGTCCACGTCTACGTCCACGTCCAAGTCCACGTCCACGTCCACGTCCACGTCCACGTCCCCCACGTCCACGTCCACGTCCACGTCCACGTCCACGTCCTCCACATGCACGTCCACGTCCACGTCCACGTCCATGTCCACGTCCACGTCCACGTCTACGTCCATGTCCACGTCCACGACAACGTCCAGGTCCACGTCCACGTCCACGTCCACGTCCACGTCCACGGCCACGTCCACGTCCTCCACGTCCACGTCCACGTCGTCCACGTCCACGTCCTCCACGTCCACGTACACGACCACGTCCACGTCAACGTCCACGTTCACGACCACGACCACGTCCACGTCCACGTCCACGTCCAAGTCCAAGTCCACGTCCACGTCCACGTCCTCCACGTCCACGTTGTCCACGGCCACGTCCTCCACGTCCAAGTCCACGACCACGTCCATGTCCACGTCCACGTCGACGTCGACGTCGACGTCCACGTCCACGTCCACGTCCACGTCCACGACCACGTCCAAGTCCACGTCCACGTCCACGTCCACGTCCACGTCCATGTCTACGTCCACGTCCTCCACGTCCACGTCCACGTCCACGTCCACGTCCACGTCCATGTCTACGTCCACGTCCACGTCCTCCACGTCCACGTCCACGACCACGTCCACGTCCACGTACTCCACGTCCACGTCCACGTCGTCCACATCCATGTCCACGTCCAAGCCCACGTCCACGTCCACGTCCACGTCCACGTCCAAGTCCACGTCAAAGTACACGTCCACGTCAACGTCCACGTCCACGTCCACGACCACGTCTAGGTCCAAGTCCACGACCACGTCCACGTCCACGACCACGTCCAGGTCCACGTCCAGATCCACGTCCACGTCCACATCCACGTCCACGACCACGTCCATGTCCAAGTCCACGTCCACGTCCACGACCACGACCACGACCACGTCCACGTCCACGACCACGTCCACGTCCATGTCCACGTCCACGTCCACGTCCAAGTCCATTTCCACGTCCACGTCCACTTCCTCGTCCACGTCCAGGACCACGTCCACGTCCACGTCCACGTTCACGACCACGTCCACGACCACGTCCACGTCCACGTTCATGTCCACGTCTACGTCCAGGTCCACGTCCAATTCCACGTCCACGTCCACGTCCACTTCCTCGTCCAGGTCCAGGACCACGTCCACGTCCACGTCCACGACCACGTCCACGACCACGTCCACGTCCACGTTCACGTCCACGTCGACGTCCACGTTCACGTCCACGTCCACGTCCACGTCCACATCCACGTCGTCCACGTCCACATCCACGTCCACGTCCACGTCCTCCACGTCCACGTCCACGTCCACGTCCTCCACGTCCACGTCCACGCCCACGTCCACGGCCACGTCCACGTCCACGTCCACGTCCATGTCCACGTCCACGTCCTCCACGTCCACGTCCACGTCGTCCACGTCCACGTCCTCCACGTCCACGTCCATGACCACGTCCACGTCCACGTCCACGACCACGTCCTCGTCCACGTCCACGTCCACGTCCACGTCCAAGCCCACGTTCACGTCCACGTCCACGTCCACGTCCACGTCCAAGCCAACGTCCACGTCCACGTCCACGTCCACGACCAACTCCACGTCCACGTCCACGTCCACGTCCACGACCACGTCCACAACCACGTCCACGACCACGTCCACGACCACGTCCACGTCCAAGTCCACGTCCACGTCCACGACCAAGTCCACGTCCACGTCCACGACCACGTCCACGACCACGTCCACGACCACATCCACGTCCACGTCCACGACCAAGTCCACGACCACGTCCAAGTCCACGTCCACGTCCACGTCCATGTAAATTTCCTCGTCCACGTCCAGGACCACGTCCACGTCCACGTCCATGTCCACGTCCACGACCACGTCCACGTCCACGTCCACGTCCACGACCATGTCCACGTCCACGTCCAAGTCCACGACCATGTCCACGACCACGTCCACGTCCACGTTGACGTCCACGTCTACGTCCACATCCAAGTCCACGTCCACGTCCACGTCCACGTCCTCCACGTCCACGTCCATGTCCACGTCCACGTCCTCCACGTCCACGTCCACGTCCTCCACATGCACGTCCACGTCCACGTCCACGTCCACGTCCACGTCCACGTCCAGGTCCACGTCCACGTCCACGTCCACGTCCACGTCCACGGCCACGTCCACGTCCTCCACGTCCACGTCCACGTCGTCCACGTCCACGTCCTCCACGTCCACGTACACGACCACGTCCACGTCCACGTCCACGTCCACGACCACGACCACGTCCACGTCCACGTCCACGTCCAAGTCCAAGTCCACGTCCACGTCCACGTCCTCCACGTCCACGTTGTCCACGGCCACGTCCTCCACGTCCAAGTCCACGACCACGTCCATGTCCACGTCCACGTCCATGTCCACGTCCACGTCCACGACCACGTCCACGTCCACGTCCACGTCCATGTCTACATCCACGTCCTCCACGTCCACGTCCACGTCCACGTCCACGACCACGTCCACGTCCACGTCCACGTCCATGTCTACGTCCACGTCCTCCACGTCCACGTCCACGTCCACGTCTACAACCACGTCCACGTCCACGTCCACGTCCATGTCTACGTCCACGTCCACGTCCTCCACGTCCACGTCCACGACCACGTCCACGTCCACGTACTCCACGTCCACGTCCACGTCGTCCACATCCATGTCCACGTCCAAGCCCACGTCCACGTCCACGTCCACGTCCACGTCCAAGTCCACGTCCAAGTCCACGTCCACGTCAACGTCCACGTCCACGTCCACGTCTAGGTCCAAGTCCACGTCCACGTCCACGTCTACGTTCACGACCACGTCCAGGTCCACGTCCAGGTCCACGTCCACGTCCACATCCACGTCTACGACCACGTCCATGTCCACGTCCACGTCCACGTCCACGTCCACGTCCACATCCACGTCCAGGACCACGTCCACGTCCACGACCACGTCCACGTCCAAGTCCACATCCACGTCCACGTCCACGTCCACTTCCTCGTCCACGTCCAGGACCACGTCCACGTCCACGTCCACGACCACGTCCACGACCACGTCCACGTCCACGTCCACGTCCACGACCACGTCCACGACCACGTCTACGTCCACGTTCACGTCCATGTCTACGTCCACGTCCAAGTCCACGTCCACGTCCACGTCCACGTCCATGTCCTCCACGTCCACGTCCACGTCCACGTCCACGTCCAGGTCCACGTCCACGTCCACGTCCACGTCCAGGTCCACGTCCACGTCCACGTCCACGTCCACGACCACGTCTAGGTCCAAGTCCACGTCCACGTCCACGTCCACGTCCACGACCACGTCCAGGTCCACGTCCAGGTCCACGTCCACGTCCACATCCACGTCCACGACCACATCCATGTCCAAGTCCACGTCCACGTCCACGTCCACGTCCACAACCACGTCCACGTCCAGGACCACGTCCACGTCCACGACCACGTCCACGTCCAAGTCCACATCCACGTCCACGTCCACGTCCATGTCCACGTCCACGTCCACGTCCACGTCCACGTCCACGACCATGTCCACGTCCACGTCCACGTCCACGACCATGTCCACGTCCACGTCCACGTCCAGGACCACGTCCACGACCACGTCCACGTCCACGTTCACGTCCACGTCTACGTCCACGTCCAAGTCCACGTCCACGTCCACGTCCACGTCCTCCACGTCCACGTCCACGTCCACGTCCACGTCCTCCACGTCCACGTCCACGTCCTCCACATGCACGTCCACGTCCACGTCCACGTCCACGTCCATGTCCACGTCCACGTCCACGTCCAGGTCCACGTCCACGTCCACGACCACGTCCACGTCCACGTCCACGTCCACGTCCACGTCCACGTCCATGTCTGCGTCCACGTCCTCCACGTCCACGTCCACGTCCACGTCCACGACCACGTCCACGTCCACGTCCACGTCCATGTCTACGTCCACGTCCACGTCCTCCACGTCCACGTCCACGACCACGTCCACGTCCACGTACTCCACGTCCACGTCCACGTCGTCCACATACATGTCCACGTCCAAGCCCACGTCCACGTCCACGTCCACGTCCAAGTCCACGTCCAAGTCCACGTCCACGTCAACGTCCACGTCCACGACCACGTCTAGGTCCAAGTCCACGTCCACGTCCACGTCCACATCCACGACCACGTCCAGGTCCACGTCAAGGTCCACGTCCACGTCCACATCCACGTCTACGACCACATCCATGTCCAAGTCCACGTCCACGTCCACGTCCACAACCACGTCCACGTCCAGGACCACGTCCACGTCCACGACCACGTCCACGTCCAAGTCCACATCCACGTCCACGTCCACGTCCACTTCCTCGTCCACGTCCAGGACCACGTCCACGTCCACGTCCACGACCACGTCCACGACCACGTCCACGTCCACGTCCACGACCACGTCCACGACCACGTCGACGTCCACGTTCACGTCCATGTCTACGTCCACGTTCAAGTCCATGTCCACGTCCACGTCCACGTCCATGTCCTCCACGTCCACGTCCACGTCCACGTCCTCCTCGTCCACGTCCACGTCCACGTCCACGTCCACGTCCAGGTCCACGTCCACGTCCACGTCCACGTCCACGTCTACGACCACGTCTAGGTCCAAGTCCACGTCCACGTCCACGTCCACGTCCACGACCACGTCCAGGTCCACGTCCACGTCCACGTCCACGTCCAAGTCCACGTCCACGTCCACGTCCACGACCACGTCCACGTCCACGTCCACGTCCACGTCCACGTCCACGTCCACGTCCACGTCCACGTCCACGACCACGTCCACGTCCACGTCCACGTCCACGTCCATGTCCTCCACGTCCACGTCCACGTCCACGTCCTCCACGTCCACGTCCACGTCCACGTCCACGTCCATGTCCACGTCCACGTCCACGTCCACGTCCACGCCCACGACCACGTCCACCTCCACGTCCTCCACGTCCACGTCCTCCACGTCCATGTCCATGACCACGTCCACGTCCACGTCGACATCCATGACCACATCCAGGTCCATGTCCACGACCACGTCCAAGTCCACGTCCACATCCATGTCCACGTTCACGTCCACGTCCAAGTCCACGTCCACGTCCACGTCAACGACCACGACCACGTCCACGTCCACGACCACGTCCACGTCCACGTCCACGTCCACTTCCTCGTCCAAGTCGAGGACCACGTCCACGTCCACGACCACGTCCAAGTCCACATCCACGTCCACGTCCACGTCCACTTCCTCGTCCACGTCCAGGACCACGTCCACATTTACGTCCACGACCACGTCCATGACCACGTCCACGTCCACGTACACGACCACGTCCACGCCCACTTCCACGTCCACGTTCACGTCCACGTCTACGTCCACGTCCAAGTCCACGTCCACGTCCACGTCCATGTCCTCCACGTGCACGTCCACGTCCTCCACGTCCACGTCCACGTCCACGTCCATGTCCATGTCCATGTCCACGTCCACGTCCAGGTCCACATCCACATCCACGTCCACGTCCACGCCCATGACCACGTCGACGTCCACGTCGTCCACGTCCACGTCCTCCACGTCCACGTCCACGACCACGTCCACGTCCACGACCACGTCCACGTCCACGTCCACGACCACGTCCATGTCCATGTCCACGTCCACGACCACGTCCACGTCCACGTACACATCCAAGTCCATGTCCAAGTCCACGTCCATGTCCACGACCACGTCCAGGTCCACGTCCACGTCCACGTCCACGTCCACGACCACGTCCAGGTCCATGTCTAGGTCCACGTTCACGTCCACGTCCACGTCCACGTCCACGTCCACGACCACGTCCACGTCCACGACCACGTCCACGTCCACGTCCACGACCACGTCCACGTCCACGTCTACGTCCAAGTCCACGTCTGTGTGTTAGACCCACCGTGTGTTAAACCCACAGTGTGTAACACCCACCGTGTGTTAAACCCACCATCTGTTAAACCCACCGTGTGTTAAACCTACTGTGTGTTAAACCCACCGTGTGTTAAACCCACCGTGTTTTAAACCCACCGTATGTTAAACCCATCGTGTGTTAAACCCACCGTGTGTTAAATCCACCGTGCGTTAAACCCACCGTCTGTTCAACCCACCGTCTATTCAACCCACCGTCTGTTCAACCCACCGTGTGTTCAACCCACCGTGTGTTCAACCCACCGTGTGTTCAACCCACCGTGTGTTCAACCCACCGTGTGTTCAACCACCGTGTGTTCAACCCACCGTGTGTTAAACGTTCCGTGTGTTTAACCGACCATGTGTTCAACCCACCGTGTGTTCAACCCACCGTGTGTTAAACCCACCGTCTGTTAAACCCACCGTCTGTTAAACCCACGGTGTGTTAAACCCACCGTCTGTTAAACCCCCCGTGTGTTCAACCCACCGTGTGTTAAACCTACCGTGTGTTCAACCTACCGTGTGTTCAACCCACCGTGTGTTCAACTCACCGTGTGTTCAACCCACCGTGTGTTCAACCCACAGTGTGTTAAGCCACCGTGGTTAAACCCACCGTGTGTTAAACCCACCGTGTGTTAAACCCACCATGTGTTAAACCCACCGTGTGTTAAACCCACCGTGTGTTAAACCCACCGTGTGTTAAACCCACCGTGTGTTAAACCCACCGTGTGTTACACCCACCGTGTGTTCAACCCACCGTGTGTTCAACCCACCGTGTGTTCAACCCACCGTGTTTTGAACCCACCGTGTGAGGAACCCACCGTGTGTTAAACCCATCGTGTGTTAAACCCACTGTGTGTTAAACCTACCGTGTGTTAAAACCCACCGTGTGTTCAACCCACCATGTGTTCAACCAACCGTGTGTCAAACCTACCGTGTGTTGAACCCACCGTGTGTTAAACCCACCGTGTGTTAAACCCACCGTGTGTTAAACCCACTGTGTGTTAATCCCACTGTGTGTTAAACCCACCGTGTGTTACACCTACTGTGTGTTAAACCCACCGTCTGTTAAACCCACCGTGTGTTCAACCCACCGTGTGTTCAACCCACCGTGTGTTAAACCCACCGTGTGTTAAACCCACCGTGTGTTAAACCCACCGTGTGTTAAACCCACCGTGTGTTAAACCCACCGTTTGTTAAACCCACCGTGTGTTAAACCCACCGTGTGTTACACCCACCGTGTGTTACACCAACCGTCTGTTAAACCCACCGTGTGTTCAACCCACCGTGTGTTCAAGCCACCGTGTGTTCAACCCACCGTGTGTTAAACCCACTGTGTGTTAAACCCACCGTGTGTTAAACCCACCGTGTGTTAAACCCACCGTGTGTTAAACCCACCGTGTGTTAAACCCACCGTGTGTTCAACCCACCGTGTGTTCAACCCACCGTGTGTTCAACCCACGGTGTGTTCAACCCACCGTGTGTTAAACCCACCGTGTGTTAAACCCACCGTATGTTAAACCCACCATGTGTTAAACCCACTGTGTGTTAAACCCACCGTGTGTTACACACACCGTGTGTTAAACCCACCGTGTATTAAACCCACCATGTGTTCAACCCACCGTGTGTTCAACCAACCGTGTGTTCAACCCACCGTGTGTTCAACCCACCGTGAGTTAAACCCACCGTGTGTTGAACCCACCGAGTGTTAAACCCAGCGTGAATTAAACCCATCGTGTGTTAAACCCACCGTGTGTTAAATCCACCATGTGTTAAACCCATCGTGTGTTAAACCCACCGTGTGTTAAACCCACCGTGTGTTAAACGCACCGTGTGTTACACCCACCGTGTGTTCAACCCACCGTGTGCTAAACCCACCGTGTGTTCAACCCACCGTGAGTTAAACCCACCGTGTGTTAAACCCACCGTGTGTTAAACCCACCGTGTGTTAAACCCACCATTTGTTAAACCCACCGTGTGTTAAACCCACCGTGTGTTACACCCACTGTGTGTTAAACCTACCGTGTGTTAAACCCACCGTGTGTTCAACCCACCGTGTGTTCAACCCACCGTGTGTTCAACCCACGGTGTGTTCAACCCACCGTGTGTTAAACCCACCGTGTGTTAAACCCACCGTATGTTAAACCCACCATGTGTTAAACCCACTGTGTGTTAAACCCACCGTGTGTTACACCCACCGTGTGTTAAACCCACCGTGTGTTAAACCCACCGTGTGTTAAACCCACCGTGTGTTAAACCCACCGTGTATTAAATCCACCGTGTGTTAAACCCACCGTGTGTTAAACCGACTGTGTGTTAAACCCACCGTGTGTTAAACCCACCGTGTGTTACACCCACTGTGTGTTCAACCCACCGTCTGTTAAACCCACCGTGTGTTAAACCCACTGTGTGTTAAACCCACTGTGTGTTAAACCCACCGTGTGTTAAACCCACCGTGTGTTAAACCCACTGTGTGTTAAACCCACCGTGTGTTAAACCTACCGTGTGTTCATCCCACCGTGTGTTCAACCCACCGTGTGTTCAACCCACCGTATGTTCAACCAACCGTGTGTTCAACCACCGTGTGTTCAACCCACCGTGTGTTCAACCCATCGTCTGTTAAGCCCACCATGTGTTAAACCCACCGTGTGTTCAACACACTGTGTGTTCAACCCACCGTGTGTTCAACCCACCATGTGTTAAACCTTCCGTGTGTTCAACCCACCGTGTGTTCAACCCACCGTGTGTTCAACTCACCGTGTGTTCAATCCACCGTGTGTTAAACCTACCGTGTGTTCAACCCACCGTGTGTTAAACCTACCGTCTGTTCAACCCACCGTGTGTTCAACCCACCGTGTGTTCAACCCACCGTGTGTTCAACCCACCGTGTGTTCAACACACCGTGTGTTCAACCCACCGTGTGTTCAACACACCGTGTGTTCAAACAACCGTGTGTTCAACCCACCTTGTGTTAAGCCCACCGTGTGTTATATCCACCGTGTGTTTAAACCCACCGTGTGCTAAACCCACCGTGTGTTAAACCCACCGTGTGCTAAACCCACCGTGTGTTAAACCCACCGTGTGTTAAACCCACCGTGTGTTACACCCACCGTGTGTTCAACACACCGTGTGTTCAACCCACCGTGTGTTCAACACACCGTGTGTTCAAACAACCGTGTGTTCAACCCACCTTGTGTTAAGCCCACCGTGTGTTATATCCACCGTGTGTTAACCCACCGTGTGTTCAACCCACCGTGTGTTCAACCCACCGTGTGTTAAACCCACCGTGTGTTAAACCCACCGTGTGTTAAACCCACCGTGTGTTAAATCCACCGTGTGTTAAATCCACCGTGTGTTAAACCGAACGTGTGTTAAACCGACTGTGTGTTAAACCCACCGTGTGTTACACCCACCGTGTGTTGAACCCACCGTGTGTTAAACCTACCGTGTGTTCAACCCACTGTGTGTTCAACCCACCGTGTGTTAAAACCCACCGTGTGCTAAACCCACAGTGTGTTAAACCAACCGTGTGTTAAAACCACTGTGTGTTAAACCCACTGTGTGTTAAACCCACCGTTTGTTAAACCTACCGTGTGTTCATCCCACTGTGTGTTCAACCCACCGTGTGTTCAACCCACCATGTGTTCGACCAACCGTGTGTTCAACCCACCGTGTATTCAACCCTCCGTGTGTTCAACCCACCGTCTGTTAAGCCCACCGTGTGTTAAACCCACCGTGTGTTAAACCCACCGTGTGCTAATCCCACCGTCTGTTAAGCCCACAGTGTGTTGAGCCCACCGTGTGTTAAACCCACCGTGTGCTAAACCCACCGTGTGCTAAACCCACCGTGTGTTAAACCCACCGTGTGTTAAACCCACCGTGTGTTAAACCCACCGTGTGTTCAACCCACCGTGTGTTAAACCCACCGTGTGTTCAACCCACCGTGTGTTCAACCCACCGTGTGTTCAACCCACCGTGTGTTAAACCCACCGTGAGTTAAACCCACCGTGTATTAAACCCACCGTGTGTTAAACCCACCGTATGTTAAACCCACCATTTGTTAAACCCACTGTGTGTTAAACCCACCGTGTGTTACACACACCGTGTGTTAAACCCACCGTGTGTTAAACCCACCATGTGTTCAACCCACCGTGTGTTCAACCAACCGTGTGTTCAACCCACCGTGTGTTCAACCCACCGTGAGTTAAACCCACCGTGTGTTGAACCCACCGAGTGTTAAACCCAGCGTGTGTTAAACCCATCGTGTGTTAAATCCACCGTGTGTTAAATCCACCATGTGTTAAACCCATCGTGTGTTAAACCCACCGTGTGTTAAACCCACCGTGTGTTAAATGCACCGTGTGTTACACCCACCGTGTGTTCAAACCCACCGTGTGCTAAACCCACCGTGTGTTCAACCCACCGTGAGTTAAACCCACCGTGTGTTAAACCCACCGTGTGTTAAACCCACCGTGTGTTAAACCCACCGTTTGTTTAAACCCACCGTGTGTTAAACCCACCGTGTGTTACACCCACCGTGTGTTACACCAACCGTCTGTTAAACCCACCGTGTGTTCAACCCACCGTGTGTTCAACCCACCGTGTGTTCAACCCACGGTGTGTTCAACCCACCGTGTGTTAAACCCACCGTGTGTTAAAACCACCGTATGTTAAACCCACCATGTGTTAAACCCACTGTGTGTTAAACCCACCGTGTGTTACACCCACCGTGTGTTAAACCCACCGTGTGTTAAACCCACCATGTGTTCAACCCACCGTGTGTTCAACCAACCGTGTGTTCAACCCACCGTGTGTTCAACCCACCGTGAGTTAAACCCACCGTGTGTTAAACCCACCGTGTGTTAAACCCACCGTGTGTTAAACCCATCGTGTGTTAAACCCACCGTGTGTTTAGTCCACCATGTGTTAAACCCATCGTGTGTTAAACCCACCGTGTGTTAAACCCACCGTGTGTTAAACGCACCGTGTGTTACACCCACCGTGTGTTCGACCCACCGTGTGCTAAAAACACCGTGTGTTCAACCCACCGTGAGTTAAACCCACCGTGTGTTAAACCCACCGTGTGTTAAACCCACCGTGTGTTAAACCCACCGTGTATTAAATCCACCGTGTGTT